GTACTTAATAGTACCGCAATTTATTTTTAATTGTACCTTACTCGTTTCGATAATATTTGGAGCTCACATTACGGGCCAACTCAATATTGTGATAGAATGACGAAAAAAAACTCAACGATATTTTTTAAATTTTTATGGCTGATAATAATTGTACCTAAAATGTACTTTTCAAAAAGTACCCCGAAATTTGAACCTCAAATATTAGCCAAACGAGTAAGGTACAATTAAAAATAAATTGCGGTACAATTAAGTACATTTTTGGTACAATTATTTAAACCTAGTCCCCAGTTTCGACTTTCACATGTGCGGACATTCGAATATACATCCCGCAAATTTGTATGAAACATTCGCGAGCATTCGTTTCCATTTGCAAAATATATATGTATACAAATATATAAACATTTGCTCGCATATGGAACATTCGCATAAGTCGGAACCCCCTAGCAGTTTACCAATGTGTTTCGATTGACACCATGTAATGAAGCTGTATTTCAAAATGACATTTTGTCACGACGAACTGATAGAACAGCCGCTTTCATCTTTGATTTGTCTACTCCAGCCGTTTTATACTTGTACATGTGAACCATTTTGCTTTAACGACACACTGAATTGAAAAGAAAATGATGTGTAAGCACTTCGAATGTGTTCAGAATATTTTACAAACACTGAAAACGACAAAAATTCAAAAATGAAGTGGCCAACTTAGCCCCATGTGACTATTTTGGTTTCATGAACTCCATTTTTTTCATTTCTAATTTTATCGAAGAAACAATAATATCATTCAATTCAGCTCGTCTTAAGCTTCAAAAATAACTTATCAGATTTTCCGTGCGATTGAATTTCGACGATAAAACCCAAAAAATCTGGGAATCTTTTTTTTTACTCTGTGAACGTCTGTCTGTGAATGTCTGTCTGAATACTGACTTGCACAAATTAAAGTTTTTCTTCCATAATTTCATAAATAAAAAAGTTATTTTTTAAATTTTCCATTTGGGTAATCGGAATAGGTGAATATTTGCAATTGATGTATAATTTAAATATTTAAGAAGTTGTTTCTCAATTATTCTGCTATCTGTAGGAATTTAATAAATTTTGAATTTTATATTAACCGAATTCGTCTCTATGAAGTGGACTCTTTCAACAATTAATTCAAAAGGCTTTTTGCAGATTGAGCAAATCAAAATATCGAAAAATTAGTATAACATCCGTAATTAAAACTAATTGTGTGGCTCTATAATTAAGCTTTTGTGAAAATAGTGCAGATATTGAGACGATTGCTACCGAGAAAATGCAATACAAATAAGTAACAAATTACTGATATAATAAAAGTTATAGCCATTACTTTGGGCTATGTGTAACTTTTTCTGGATATACAGAATTCGGTTGGAGTAATCGGCAATAGCAAAACTATGCAGATATAACGAACTGTACCATTCGATTTCATTTGGACATTAGTTTGTTTCTTCTAGTAGTCCCACGTTTAGACTATGTCAAAGACTGGCAGTGTAGTGTTATGCTTTCCATCTTTTGAAAAATAATGTTGTATATTTTTGTTGTGTAAATATTTGAGTTTAATGGATGCGTTATTTAAAAAAATATATGGTTTGGTTTGAAGTTTGCGTAGATTAGTCAGTTATTACCTCCACTAAAATGAGCGACATCTAGCGATTCAATTATGAAAAAATTGAACTTACTCGCATACGAAAGGCACTTAGTAAAACAGCGAGTACAAATTTAAAGAACAAGATCCAGTTCGTTCAAAATCATAAAAAAGCACGTACAGTTCAATTATCGAATAAATCATTTCTTGTGGATGTTCGACTCTGTCTTTTCTCAAAAATTCATCAAGTTTTTTGTTCCATATTTTTTGCAATCAACATTGTGATATACAAAACGAAGACGAAATTTGTCGTTTTAGTCATCAAATGTGTGAGAAAATATTACATTATAGAAAAAGGTCAAAGCCACGATTATTGGAAGCGGTCATCTAAATGTGTGGCACACATTTAAAGCAATGAATTCGAAACAAGAAAGAAGAAGATGAAACAAAAACGAAATTACTGTTTGGTGAAGGTCATCGGGCCGTGACGTGCACACAGTATAGCTTACACTTTAATTATGAAGTATGTTCCATTCGCTGTCGAGTGGTAATTTTGTGACCATTTGTAATTTCTCACTTGATCGTAGTCGATAGTGTTTCAATCTTGGAGCATGTCATGGAACATAAACCATTAAATAAAAGCATAATGGCAATTGAGAAACAAATTCGGACTCACAAAATGTAAACAAAGAAATGTATTTTCCCATTGTTATTTGATTTGTTGCAATCCACCGTACATTATACGCACCACTCAAACTTGTGATCTTTCCGAAACTGAAATTAATGTATATATACCCAATTTATACCATTCATTCACAAACAAACACACACAACGTCGCGACATCGTTTTTTTACTACAAAACGGTTTTTTGCCTATCTTTGCTATGAACTAGATTTTCTTTTAAGGTAATTCGCCTATTTCATTCTATTTTACTGTTTGACCTTGAATCGGAATAAAAAAAAAACACAAAAAATAAGATTTACTTTTTAACTTACTGCGTTATAGCCACAATACACACTCCGCTTGGAATAGTGGACAACTGATGCAATTAAGAAGAATGGAAACATATGAAATGATGATGATGTCCTCAAGTGGTGAAAATTTCGCATTTATTCGCAAAAGTTTTTTTTAAAGAAATGTTAATAATCTTTCGAGGTCTGTCACAATATGGAAATGTCACTTCTTGATGACATTGTGGCGTGGGAATATACTGTCTGTTGAATAAAAAACGAAAAATACCGGAATTTCAACTTTTATTTTGATTCTTTTTGCTTTTATAGAATTTGGTTTTACAAAACAGATTTTTAAATTTCTATAATTGGAGCTTGGCAATCACTGGCCCAAAGCAATAAGAATAAATTCAATAAAAAGTAAGTATAGATTTTGTTTACAACCCCACTGCATTGATTGTTTGTAAACATAAACAAAAGAAAGCAAAACACATAAGTAATACGACAATAAGCTGCTTCTGCAGCAACGGCCGATATTTTGTTGGCAGTAATACTTGCGGTGGGCCAGCATACATACACACAACCTGTGTTTTCAGAAGCCATCGAATAGCGCACAATGTCTTAGTGCACATCTATACACCAATACACTGGTATTTGTAGACTGTATTTGAACTAGAGACATGAAAAACGACTCTAAGCGACGAATCACACCAGACGATGATATAAAAATCCATCGGAATTTTTCTACATGTTTACTTGAAAAGGTGCTTTTCATCCAAAAAGTTGTCTGTGGAGCAGAGTCGTTCGTTTAACCATATTTAGTTCGAGACTTTTCATTAATTTTCTCGTTTTTTATATATTTTCGAAACAAACAAGAATTACATTGAATTTTTGCTTTAACTGGTAAGACATAAAATCATTTTTTTTAAAATTCGATTGCATATGCAACAAATAAATCAAAGTTTAAACAAGACAAAACAAATTTAAAGTGGACACAGAAAAAAAATCGATTACGAGTGATTGAATAAACTTATAAAAAAAATGCCGTGTTGATCTAGTGCAAATAAACGAGTAAATTAGACCAATCAAAGAACGATTATTATCATTTAAATTTGATTTTTTTTATGATTGGATTAAAATGGGTTCAGTGATATATTGAATTGATTTTTATGCATCATCATAATGAATCATCGCACTAACGAACAGGCTAATTCATGTTGTAATCTTCTCAAATGCGTTCAGTCAACTAATCCGGTGTTGATACGATGTGTGGTGTATCTTTTCTTCATTTGCTTCGCCCATATTTTTTTGCCGTCACTGTTATTTTTACATATTACGTTAAAGCATGCTAAATTATTACATAAAATAAACACATCAACAATATTTTTTTTTTCTTTCTTCTTTCATACGATATGTAGCTCAAACAAACGACGTGAATACTTAAAGACCGAAGCATCAAAGCCCGCGTATACTCGAGACAGCCAACCGAAAGTGAATTTTATTCATAGTTTCATCGTAGATCGAGCAACACATGACAACGTAGCTTCGATCGGGTAATCGTGTAAAATTGCACAGTTGCATCGTGGAATTTATTGACCGAATCAGTTAGCGTTTCACAAGCCAAGGTGCATAATACAACACAAAATTCATTAAAACGATCGAAAAAGCGAACAATTTTGAAGAAGAAAAATTAAATTGAATATTTCTAATTGAAATTGAAAGTATTTGAGGGCAATTTCTGCATTTCTAATCAAGTGTTAAAATGACTTTTAAATTAAAAAGACCAGCAAACAAAATTATTTGAATTCATCATATTTCGTGTCGATATTCTCTGAATTTCGTTTTTTTTTATATTGATTGCCGTTGTTACTTTTTCGTTGTTGTACATTGGTGTGAAAAGTCAGCCACTTGCAATAACAATAGCTTCAAAGCAACAAATTTATGCAATCCAAATCAATGGCATTTGTAATAGTTGCACAAAAAACAGAATAACTCGATTATTGCTGCCATAATTTTTTTTTTCTCTTCATTTTTTCCTTCGTGTATAGACACATATGATGAACAAATGTAAAACACAATAAATAAAGCTGCTATTTTAATAAACAAAAGTGAAATAAATATAAATGCGCACATGCAGACATCTATACACGCGAAAAAAAATAAAATATAATATAAGAAACGGCCCAAACGCGAATATATTTTAAATTAAAATTAGCAATACCGTTTTAGTTTTTGTTCCACACTGAAGGTGTTTATTCGGTTTTATCGTTTTTGAGCAAAAAAAAAACAAAGAATTAAATTGTGAAATTTCGATATTTTTTTTTTTTTGTAAATTGATTGAAACGTGTGTTTTGTGTTCTTCAGTACTACTTATCGGATGTGGAAATTGGTTGGATCTATTCTTTGGCCTGATTTTTGGTGAACAGAAGAGAGAAAGGAAAACATATCGAACACTTGAATCAGTGCATTCTATAGCAAAGTCGCAAAACTGTTAACTGGATAGTGCCAAGTGATCGATCGGTGATCAAAGTTAAGTTAATGTGATAGCGTCATAGGCATCGACCGACAGAGTCAAACGTGCACATTTTTTTTTCGTTCGCATAAAGTATTGGGTAATTCGAGTTTGTGTGCATTTTATTTATTTGCTAAGTGTTTCGAAATTGGGTAACATATTATCGCCAGCCAAATCGGCATTTAAAAACACAGACACACACACACAAGCATACATTCATAGTTCGAAAGAGTGAAATCACTTCTGAGAAAACAGTGCATTCAAGAATTGACGAATCGAGTTTTGTCTGTGTGGTATGATCAACGCCATGGAATTTGTCATGAATTGGATTGTTTTCAGTGCGGTTGCCATTGCAGTCGGCTCATCGATAGAGACACGTAAGTGACTTTTTTTTATTCATCATAATTTATGTTCATTATTTTCAGCTATTTTTTGCATTCCCATGGCATTGAGATTTATTTTGAATGGAACAATCGAAAGGATAAAATTTAATTCTGATTGAATTTACGTCAATGCATATTGAAAGCCAATGATAACTTTATTGGACACTGTTTATAATTTTTTTTGACAACGACGTTTGGGACCAAATCGTGAACGAATTCCAGTTTCAACAGACAAAGAAAAACTCAAAACACGACAATTAAAAATATATATTCAAATATGCACAGGCCCAGTTCAAAAAATATTTCACATAATGCAATGTAGAAGCGATCAACATGCTTGCAATGTGAAGCATAATGCAATCACAAAAACTGACACACATACATGCAGAGAGACCATGTGAGAATTTATTATACACACAACGCGCGCACAGATACGAATGTAGCTTATTATAATCATAAATAATAAGTATGGTGAAATGTTACCGTTGAATTATTTTTCATTGTGCATGCAGCAGTCGTTGCCTTTTTTACCACATTTATTAGTACTATTAATGTCGTTGTTAATTTTGTGTTTTTGTGGTGCAATACCAGAGTCAAGAGATTATGCGCCAAATGATTCATGCAATTTTTACATTCCAAATGTTTACAAAAATTATTCAGACACCATCCTAATGCAATAAGTTTGTTTTTTATTTGGCTCGGCCTTTGAAAAAAATTCCAATCGTCTGCAAATACAATTGTTCTGATTTAGATTCAATTATATTGGTGAAATACAAAAAAAAAAAACATTCTTCTTAAATGTTGTAAAAGATGTAGCAAAAAACCTTAATTTGAATTATGTAAAAAAATGATTTTCCTTTGCACGCACTTTAGATTTTTAAATGAGGCGGTTTCAGTTTAATTTTCGTTGCATTGAATCAGTCTAAGCCGATCGGTGGGTTTTGCGGCACTTTTCAAGATGTAAATAAATGTGCGCAAGAGAAGACATCACATCAGCAGCAGCTGTGTGCTTATGGTGCATAGGCAAAGCATTGAATATATTACATTTCAACGATTTCATCAGAATGCTCAACAAGTTGCCTTTCAACTTCAAATTTCTTCATTTTGCACCAGCCAACAAACACATACACAAACCATTGTAGTGAGCACGCATACACACAAAACACAAACGCATTTTGCAATACATTTTTCGTATCGCTTACGCTTGAATCACACATGCATATACGACAAAGTACAAAAAAATCAATTTCACTCATTTGCTGCAATCTACCGGATCGCTTGAAACGATGCATGCGAAACCAATTTTAATCGTTCTCTTTTGCCCGAAAACAAATTTAACGCCTGCGGTAAAATACGAGAGTTTCGATACGAAGTGACGATTCAACTAGCACATATTTTATGTATGGCAATAAACTAACACACAAAACTGATAACGTATACTATATGACCTACATTCGCATTGATTTATAAGACAAATCACCTTATGAATTCATGAACATAGAAGTCATCCAGCTGAATGATTCATAGATGTCGGCAAATTGGCTGTATCAATGGCAAATGGCCAAAGTTTAACGGGTTCAGTTGGTTTGAAGGTTATCGAATTTGTTTCATCATAACAGTTTTAAAAATGTCAAACAGTCTTTGCGGTTTCGCCTCTTTTGGCGTTTTTTTGGCAACATTGACAACAATAATCATTTCACAGAAAAATGTATAATTTACAATTATCATTCATTCACATGAAATATATATTATTATTTTAATTGTAAACAAATCACAAGTGTACACGGAGACGCACACTCTGAGTTCATATAATATTGAGTCGGGTTTGATTTGTTATCATTTGAGTGTCTGGTACGATTCTATATAATACAATGTGAATGGCGTTGAAAATGCAGCTATCTCAACCGAGCTGACCAGCTACCATGAATATTTAGCGCTATTCAAAGTATGCATTGGTCATTCCAACAGGGTTAAGCCACAAAGTTCAAAATATCAAAAAAAGAAAATGATTTTAATCATTAAGTCCAAAGTTTAAGTGTCGTTCGTTTTCGAATTGCTCGGTTCAAATGCGTATTTAACATTTGCCGCGTATTATTGCACTCGACTATCACATATTTTAGCTTCCACGCGTTTATTTCATTCAAGTTTTCTATTTTTCTAAGGGAATCATAAAAAACCAACTCACGAAATACAAATTTGGATCTCTCAAAGTTGCGACAATAATATTATAAATACGTTCACGTATCGATTTACACAAGCGTCGTTTCTAGTTACGAGAATTCTTATGCTGTCTTATAAACTTAATGTGTAGCACCGAGAAAGAAAAATACTCTTTTTTTTCTCCTCATTTTGTTTCTTATGTTGCGATTGCTTCAACCCAACTGTTTCATGACACATCGCTTCGATTGCACATTAAAAATTAGCACAAGCAGCAAAAAATACTGGCAAAATTGAGAATATAAACCAAATAGAAGCATGTTACGATTATATAAACAACATACATTTACGAGCGACGGCATGAATGCTGAGAAAAAAACCGGCAATAAAAAAAATGCTATGTGTCAATTGATGGAAGTCTCAATACGTTTATTTGTATCTATTAGGAAACCAGTCAGCAATTGATTGATGTGTATTTTTTTGTTGTTGTAAATTTCAACATCGATGCGGATGGCGTTTTGCTAAATGGTCTATGTAAATCAGTCATTTTCCATGACCTTATCACGCCTTTATTCATACACTTTGCACAGATTTCAATTGTAAACCAGCTAAATGCGTGTACCACTGCTGATTTATTCGCATTTATAATTTAAAATCCATATGAATGAAATACGATACAACTGGAAATTGTGGTTTTTGACTGGAGGTTGCACACCTTTTTTTTCGTATTTCATTTAAACCATATGATCTAAAGCACGTAAAGTTTCGGAAGCATTGATATCCGGATATTCTCATTAACTTCTAGTTACCGTTAAAAGTTCAATGAATCGGATCATTTATATTTATATCAAAGGAACTCAAAAAGAAACTAGACGTACATCAAGTGCAAGTGTTCGTTGGGCCAATTGCTTTGCTACATGCCCCAAGGCTAACTGATATGTCAACATCTTGTTTTATTTTGGATACGAAATGCACAACAATGCATATGTTTCGACAGTATGATTTCCAAATAAAATAATGACGCATATAAATGTTGACGGTTTGTAAGACGAACAAAAAACCGGATTTGTGATTTCTTTGCAGTTTTCGTTTTCTTCGCTTTCAAAAAAAAAAAAAAAAAAAAAAACAATTATCACAATTGAAATGTGTAATAAATATTTATTTTGATTTTTTACGACCATGACCATAGTAGACGGTGGCACCAAGCCGAAAATAAAAGTGTATTAAGAAACACGTGTAGTACGATGAATAACAATAATTGATAAATATTTGGTTCGTTTGAATAATGTCGACATACATTTGTAATGCATAATTTAGATTATGATGATAATTACACGTTTCTTACGGAAAACCAGAGATTGAACATGTTTTAAGAACAATAATATTATGTGTGTATGGTTTCTTGTTTTCGAAACATAAATATATAAGAAAGTTTATTTTGATTGTTTCAAGTTTAAATTTGTGTGCGTTCATTTTAACAATATCGAACATTTTATTTGATTTAGTAACAAATCACATTCCGTTTTTGCATTTTTATTCGAATTTCCACAATATTTTGAATATTTATTTTTTCGTACATTTAAACCTTATTGATATAACAGCCGATTTTATGCGATGATATATCGACTGAGTAAGGTGCGGCATATGAAAAGAGTGAGAATGGTATGCTCAAAAATCTTTATGACATTGAGTTTTATTCGTTCTCTCTTTAGTTTTAAAATTATATCTTGTGATTTTGCAATAGCATGCCATAAGACGCACAGTGTGGTCATTGAACAAAAAGAGTTGAAACCGTGGTTTCATTTCGATGGACTCTATAATATGGAATTAAGAGTAATACCTATTTATCAAGCTTCAAAAGGAAATGACAATGTGGACAATACCATTTTCAACATATTCAACTGCAAAGATCGACCGTTAACGATGAATTTATTCAATAATCTAAGCATACATTTTTCGGTATCCGCTAGAAAAACATGAGATGATCAACAAAATGTAAAACAATATGAAAAAAACTTATTCGATCTTATGTTTTACGATCGATGTGACAGCATTGTAAAAATGTAATTTGTTTTGAAAATTTGATTTATCCCCAGAAGAAACTGATTGCGCATCCGAAATCAATTATGATTGTCCCTGAATCACATCATCAAAATAATTGGATATTTTTTTTTTTTTTAAAAAAAAAAAAAAAAAACAAATATATTTTTTTAATTCACTGGAAATATCTGAAACTGGTAATAAAACTACCATATTTGACGTTGTTAATGCTGCCGCCATTTCATAGCTAGTACATATTTTCTTATGTTTTAATTTGTAGTTGGAAGCAATTTCCGTATAAAATATAATGAATTACACACTACGTGATCGCTGACATTTTCCAGCCAATAATTATTAAATAAAAAAATATGCTACTGAATTATGCGTATCTTTGTGGCTGTTATTTCAAGGTTTGGATTTAATTACTATTGGATTTTACAAGTATAGAGTTTTTTTGCTTGAATCACCTTTTTTTGTAATGAAAAAACAAAGAAACATTGTGGACATCCATTTTTATCGATTCTTGGAAAATAATATTGAAATAAATTTGTATTATCAATGACTGGAAAATAATACAATTCAAAAAAAGAAATTAATTTGTATTAAAAAAGAACAATCAATGTCAGATGAAATGCATCAAATAGTGGTCTTTATGTCAGCACTAGAATAGAACAACATCCTTTCAATGAAATTCATTGCATTCTAATCAGTATTTCTTTTATATTTCATTACAGCCAAATATATTTTACCATGCGAACGTAACGATCCACAAATAAATAACTGTATAAAACGGTCATTTAATCATTTGAGGCCATTTTTGGGTAAAGGACTGTCTGAGATAAATGTGCCGCCACTAGAGCCATTGCTTATCGATCAAATGAATATGGACAATGATGCCGGTGCCGTACGGATAAAAGCCAGATTTGCCGAAATATTAGCCAAAGGTGCTAGCAATTATACCATCAAAGAAGTTCGCAGCGATGTTAAGGTGAGTGGAAAAAAAAATGTTTTCTTTCAAATACGTATGCTTATAATATTTCTATTGAATCCGTAGAAACTTCGATTCGATATGCGTTTGACCATTCCACGTGTCGAAGCAAGAGGCAAATATGACATTGTTGGCAATGTACTTTTGTTGCCAGTTCGATCGAATGGTGAATTTTGGACTGAATTTAGTGATATTACTGCTGTCATCAAAGTATATGGCAAGGAAACAACACGTAACAACGAAGCTTACATGCACATCGAAAAGCTTGGATTAGATTTCACGATGAAGAATGCCCGATTCAAGGTTAAAGACAACGTGAATAGTCAGAATGTTCTCGGTACGTTTGAATCAATTACTTTCAAACAATTGTTCGATTGTATTTCAAATAATTCATTTTTTTCGTTGTTGTTTTTTTTCTCGATCGACAGGTGAGGCCATCAATCAATTTTTAAATACAAACGCCAACGACTTGGTGCAAGAAATGAGACCAGCTGCATCTCAAAGTATTGGGCGATTATTCAAGAAAATCTTGAATTCAGCATTCGGCAGCATACCGATGCGACAATGGTTACTTTCGTAAGCAAAAATGAAGAAACAAACAATGTGACTCAAGCGCCAAGTTATAATGTCATCTGTTATTCATCTCCATGTCACGTGTGCACCACTAAATTAGATGTTGATTGTGGGTTTGAATTAAATTGAACCCTGGAAATAGACGTTATATTTTATTAGTTTTGCATAACTCTAATACCAATAAAATTGGCCACCTTCCCAGAAACCACCTCTATTATCATCTGCAATGCAAATACTCTCATTTCATACTATTTCATGCGTTCAAACTATGATGCGACATAGTTTTATTTTTGTATTAATTTTGAAGTAACAATTTATAAAAAAAGCAAATTTTCTAGATGTAACTTATTAAATTTTAGTCTTAACAGATGAAAATAGTTTAAATAAAAAAAACAACAACAACTGTTCAAAATTTAAATGTTTCGAAATAAAATTGAATCAAAAAGATTTTCACATTGAAATAATTTCGGTCGAAATTTTTGCATTATTGAGGTAAGTAAAGATTTAAACTTCAAATAATAAAACAATTCATTGAATGTTGAAAAGAAATTTTTCGCAATGATGGAATAATATTTTACTCGAAAATAGCAAAATGAATTCAATAATCAATAAAATATAAAGATTGACGCACTTATATTGATTTTATTTGTCAAGTTAAACATAAAATTCTGTTGCCTCACATCTCGATGACATATGCAGTTGATAACCTGGCGCTGACCACGTGTTGACAATCAATTTAAAACGATGCATTTATCGAAATAAATGAAAATTATTACTTGCTGGGAGAGCAAGACACAATTCCTCCATATTGCGTTCATAATTAAAAATGGCGTGCTTTCTATTGGGAACAGTATCTTTAGGCGACAGATTCGGATCACTGCCAAATTATTGAAGATAATAAATGCATTACAGTTCTAAAATAAACAACAAAAATCACTCCGGCTGTAATTTTACATTCTAATCGATCAATATGTGAGTTTTTTTAATTGTGTTTAGCCTGATTTTCACATCGTCTATTGCCCCAGAAATCCACATCAGGCCAGTTGGATGTCGCAAAACAATTAAATACATGGCGCGTGTTTCATGACGCAATTTTAATTATTCGATTAAATCAATTATTCTTATAATTCATTATATTCGTTGATGTTTGTGTAATTTTATTCATTTTTACCAAAAAAAAATTCTTCGTGTAGTTTCACACGAATATTTGGCTTCTAAACAGGTAGTCGTTTAAATGAAAATATGAAATATTTGGCTGTGTACTCTTGAAAATCGACTTTCAAAATCTTAACGAATTCAGAACAATAATTCCAATTCGAATCGAATTTTCAAATAAAAGATTTTTTTTTTTTTTTTTTTCAAAAAATATTTCCATTTATAAAAATTCAATTTAAATTGTTTGCATGAATGAAATGAATTCATTTCATTCATTTATTTACCCAGCCGAATTATTTTTAAAATTCATGATTTCCGTACTTTAATCGATCATTTATCTCTTACGCGCTGCGTTGTTTATTTGCGAACAAAAAAACGCAAAAAATCTGCAATTGCAGTTCTGTTTATTTTATTCAAAAAAATCCTTGTGTACTTTGTACGTCGTCAATGTTATCAGACGAGAAAAAAAATGTTGGAACAGATGCAAAATAGAGAAAAAAATAATCAACCAATTAATCAAAATTCAAGACAATTTCCATATGACATTTGCACCCGACAATTTAGTAGAAAAAAGATGCACTGGTTTGGCAATGATAAAATGCGATTTATTGCAAGAATGACGCCGAAACCCATTCATGTGTACAGACGGATCTGTTTATGTTAGTTAAAAATAATAATAATAAATATTGAATTAGTCGTATGTTGGCGCCGGACAAGGGATAAACCAATTAACTTCCGATTACGAATCAATTCAGTGAATGTCTATTTATCGCCACAATTCTATTTTTAGTTTGTGCAAAGAGTATGTGCATATAGTTCTTATCATGAATGTTACTGTTGATACGTCGTAACATGTAAAAATTCTATTTGAAAATCTGCCATCAAACTAAACAAAATCGCCGACAAAACGTAAACACTCTGCAAGATGTTTATTTGTCGTGTTCTCAATTCAAGTGACGACTATATCGAAACGACGAGAACAACGATGCTCTTTTTCATTGTTGCAAATGAAATGAGCTGAAGTGATTGAACAATTCTTTCAAACGCAACACACTCTTACACATTGACGTCTATTTTTTTTTTTTTTGTTATCGCACCGTTCCCGTTAACAGTTAGTTTGTGTATTGTCTTTTATGCAAGTGAGAGATTACACACTTGCGAAGAGAGACAAGCACGCTGTGACCACAACATTATCTCTTGCTCTCTTATTCAGTGCATGTAAATCGATGAAAACGAATGTGATGTACTTTTCATCTTATTTTTGATAATGAGCTGTGCATGTATGTTTGTTTATTGTAATAATTGTGAATTCGGTCCCTGTATACCCTTAGAAATTCATCTGAAGAGATTCAGTTGTAAAATTGCTAGTCTTTGGGACAGATGTCTTTTAATCAAAGTAAAAGTGAACGGGAAACCAATAACAAAGTGAAGAATAGACAAAGTGTCGCTTCTACCACACAATATTGACTAACAAAGTTGTATTCTCGTGAATAAAAATCGATGTCAATCACATTTTTTAGCGATTAAATTTTGAAGTTCAGCTCTTTTAATTTCCAAGTGAAGGACAACTCATTTTGCTGTTTGACAGATAATTCGGTGTCATAATAAATACGATTTTGTTTCAACACAAGTGACAGTGAACAAAGTCAATTCAAGCCTGATCTCATTCATTGGTGTGTTTAGCAAACTTTTCAAAATGAACAATCGTAAATTTTTCTTCGAACGATATTTAATTTTCAATTACCTATCAAATTTCTCCACATAGACTGTTGAAAATCATCGATACGCAAAAAGGGCACACTAACAACGTTCGAAGCACGATGATCGTATTATCGTCCGTAATATATAGTAACCAAGAATCAATTGGAGTATAATATTTTACAAAAGACTGTACAGTACATTTACTTCATGCGAATGTCAAGGGTAGCCAAAGTGTTGTGTTCATTTTTTTTCATGTGATTAACTCAATGAATAGATGCGTTGTGTTGGTCCTGTTAATGTGATATTCATGAACTTCTGAGTTCGATAAACATTTTAGTCAAACTAACTTTTCTTAACTACATTTTTTGTTGAAAGTTCCTTTATAAATTCATTTGCATATGTCAAGTGAATAGGTAGACGACCGTTTTGAATAATTAGTGTGTGAATGTACAAAAACTATCAGTAGTTAATGTTTTTGTCATAAAAGCAATATAAACTAAAGCGAAAAGATTAATAATCAAAATTGTAGTCAATATGCAAAATCTACTACCAAATTTTACAAAACGCCAATGGCTCACGTTAATCATTATTGGGCTAGCTGATTTTTGCAATGCAATTTGTGTTAGTCTACAGGCGCCATTTTTCCCGCAAGAAGTAAGTAGTAAAATTCCATATTTTTATCATTTCATGATGCATTCAAACAATGACCGCGAAATGCAGTGCACCAAGAACGATCGCGAAAGCTACAATTCAAATCAACAACGAGAAAATTCGATTCATTTTCAAACACAGTACGACGTGTGATAATGCTGACACTGTATTTACTTATGATGATGCTATTGAGTTCAATATTTTGATAAATAGTAGGTTGATAGTAGCAATGCTAAATTTAAAAATTGATTGTAACAAAAACATTAACATTCAAACAACGATAACAATTATAATTTTTATTCAATCGACGTCGAAGAGCATAAATTTTTGTTTGTATTCAATTGTTTCATCAAATTAACATTGGAATTTTGTTTTTCTCTTAAAAAGATGTAAACAGAAATTAACATTTGAAATAATCAAAAACCGAACGAGTTTGTAAAATGTTTTGTCTACATGACTTCAATCGTTATACTTTTCATTGATCCGAGTTCATGGCATTTAAAATAATCGGCGTGGCGTGAATTGTGTTCTATCAATATTTTAGCACATCTGTTTGTGAAACAGAAAATGATGACAATGTAAAGGGAAAACAAATATTGACAATATTACATTGAACATATCAATCATTGATTTGCAACACTAAACGTTGATTGTATTTATGTAAAATGGTCGAAGTTCAATACAATTTTCAGGGGTAATATACCTTTGACACATTAAGTTAAAATTGCTTCAGGACTTGTTTTTGTTTGGAAAGGTTATCAAATTCTCGTGCACACGCATCGTTGATTTTCGTAATTTTGTTATTGAATGCGATCATTGTAGCAGATGTGTTCAACAAAATTTAAATGTTTTGCGTTCATTTTTTTGTGCAGGCAGAGAAAAAGGGATGTTCAGCAACAGAGTATGGGCTTGTATTCGGTGTCTTTGAATTAGTTGTATTTATAGTATCACCGCTGTATGGTCAATATTTAAACCATATAGGACCAAAAGTATTATTTAATGGCGGTATTTATACTACTGGCATTTCAGCCATTTTCTTTGGCTTGCTTGATCGCGTACAGGTAAATTGAAATCAAATTATATTAAAATTGCATTGCAGTGAGAAATCAATTGTTTTTTTTTTTTTTTAACAGGGACACGGTCTATTTATTACATTAGCCTTTATCATTCGAATCATCGAAGCACTTGGAAATGCAGCATTTTTAACTGCATCGTTTGCCATTATTGCAAAAGAATTTCCCGATAATGTAAGCATTACTTTCGCTTCATTAGAGACATTCTTCGGATTGGGTTTGATCGTTGGACCAATGGTTAGTTAAACAATTTTCGTTTTTTTCTATATTTATTTTTCTCATTTTTTGTAATTTTTTTCCAGGTTGGCGGTATCCTTTATCAATTTGGAGGTTACTTCTTGCCATTTGCTACGCTTGGTATGTTGCTGTTCATGACGGCTGTGATAACAATGTGCGTACTACCGAGACACAATGAACAGCTGCAACAAGGCCATTCCAATGGTAAAATAAAATAAAAACAAAAGAAAGAGCGGATTTTTTAATTGAATTTGATTTTGTTCAGCTTCAATACTGACCTTATTGAAGATTCCTGGAATGGTCATTTGTGCGATGTCCATCATGGCAACAAGTGCATCAATTGGATTTCTCGGAGCAACTCTTGAGCCACATCTACGACAATTCGATCTGAGCCCTGTTTTACTCGGTATGGAGCATCCTTTGAAACATCATACATTTTTCTTTATTCATTTCGATTTAAAAATTTTGTTTTCAGGTATTGTTTTTATTATAAATGGTGGATTCTATGCGGTAACGGCGCCAATTTGGGGCTGGATGGTTGATAAATTTCTACATCCAAAACTCTCAGCTCTAATAGGTGGCATTTTAATTGCCACAGCATTTTGTTTAATTGGACCTGTATCGTTTTTACCGTTTTCAACGTAAGGCCCGCATTCCATTTTTCAAGTAAATGCAAAACCTCTTTATATACCTTTTTTCTTCATATATTAGTACACTCGGTATGATAATCACTGGATTGGTAATGCATGGTTTTGGTATAGCTGCCATTCTAGTGGCTAGCTTCGCAGATGCACTTCGAACAGCAATGTAAGTATTATCATAAATGTAAGCATTCATTCAAATTAATGGTTGTTTAAATTTCGTGCTAGACACCATGGTTTTTCTGACACAATCGAAACGTACGGTTTAGTATCTGGATTATGGACATCAACGTTTGCATTTGGTGCATTTTTTGGGCCATCCGTAAGTGGTTTACTGTACGATTCAATTGGTTTTCGCAAAGCGGTGTTGTTCATCATACTACTTCATGCGATCGTCGGTTTTATCGTTTTGATGACACTTTTATTTGAAAGAAAACCACAACCGTACAAAGAACTCACCGATACAGAACCACTCCTTCGAAACGAGAAATTGTAAGTTTTGTGCAAATTTCGTTGTTTCAATTATGATGTCAATTTTATTATCCACATATTTGTAATTTCCGATAGAAAATTTGAACCAACAAATTTGAACGGAAGCACAATATCTATCGATCAACAACACACATGTCCGATGACGAATGTTATGGTGTGCAGTGGCTTAAATCACAAAAATTGCCAAACATGGTCGAGGTTAATATCAATTCCATTAATATTTTAAGTGGCGTGCAAATGCATCTCAAAACATAATCAATGCGTCCGCTTCCATTTTCAGTCGTTACGAACAAGAAGGTCTACTATCCCGAAACAGTTCATATTATGGAAGCTGTTGTGAGGCACCACAAAGATGTTCCATTGGACGAGAAACAATTGCCTAAATATTAATATTATCCCAAAGACAATAACAACAAAGTCTTGCCAAAACGTGTGAAAAAATTAAACAAATTGTCTATTTTGTGTATAATATACTATTTTTTTACTGTGTGTCACTGACATAGTGTCACATATTTTGTTTAAACTCATTAGACCACATCAATCAATGAACATGACATACATTCTCGTAATTCAGAAAAATTAATTTGAAACAACAAAAAATGAACTTTAATTTATTCAACCAGAAAATGTCGAATCATTTGTGACTCATATTTTTATTGTGTTAATGTTATAATTCAAAAACTATTTAGAACATCGTTTAGTTTCAACTAAAAGTCTGATAAATAAACGTATTAAATAAGAAAATACATTTGGATTTTTTTTTACTCAGTGCTTCTTATTCAAATTGGGCAGACATTATAATGAGATATTTTCAGCCAGATGAATCAGCTCAGCCAGATATCGTCAGGAGCTGAAACTGAGTGAAAACAATAGAAGTTATTGTTATGGTTATAATTACACTTACATTGCTACAATCTCTATAACAATCACTTTTATTGTTTTCACTCCATTTCAGCTCCTGACGATATCTGGCTGAGCTGATTCATCTGGCTGAAAATATCTCAATATAATGCCTGAAAGTGGGTTACATGAGAGGATTAAAACGACAACAATAGAACGAAATCAACTCAATACACACTCACTGAAAATAAATATACAAAGGTTAGTAACTGGCACCTACGGTCTACATAATATCACAGTGCAACTCTGAAAAAACCCAATGATTAATATTTTTTCCAAATAAATTGCATGCTTCGTTTTTTCTTTAGATTACATTCTGAGAATAACAAAGCAAACGCTTCAAACAGCTTCAAATGTGAAAAGTCTTTGAAAACAACTTAGAGCAACCATGAATGTCAAGTCCACTCGCCTGGATAATGACTTTAATTCTTTTGTGTATTTCGCAAGCTTGTTTAAGTTGAAATTCCTTGGCAGTTATTTTTTTTTAATTTAGTAAAAAAAAATTCCAAGGCATCATACTCTTTTATGGTGAAATCAAGTGCATTTGGCTTATTCACATCATCTTAAAGTCTAATAATAAATATAAATTCAAAAATATATTTCGTCGAATTAAATTTTCTACAAATTATAAAAAACCCTGGGTTTTGCATCCACAAAAAATTCTAACAATAATTCTGTATTGAAGTAAAAATAAGTAAAACCGTATTTCAAACTGCAAATGATTTAAATAAAGAAACTGAATGTGTTTCATTTAAAGTAAAATGCAAAGTGGCATGGATTTATTCATAAAATGCTTGGAAGTAATGCATCGGTAATAAAAACAACGCTTCACGAACACTTGAAATAAAATAGCGAAAAAAAGCGTCCCTTTTTTATTTCATGCACATTCATTTGAATCATTGAAAATTTCATGATCAAACTACTTTTACTTTACTTTGTTGTACCATATGGAAAATGTTGTTGAAAATAAATACAACCATAACATAGAGTAAATTTCTTATGCACTATGTCACGTCATTTTTTATGCTGGTATAATGAGAGCAGAAAAATATCGATTTTCCATGATTTCGCTTTTCAAATGTACGTACACACAAGCAGTTACACACAGAGAGAGAGAGATAGATAGAGAGAGAGAGAGAGAAAGAGATACACACACCGATAGACGCATACACCCAAAAAATTCATAAACAATCAATACAAGCGCGCACATTTCATATGGGAATGTAATGATTTGGTGTATCTCTTGATGGTTGTATTCGATGTGGATGGAAAATTCGATGTAGAGCCCTGTTTTGTTGCACAGCACACATTGTTTCATGAGCACAACTACATCGACAACATTTTACACATATACACGATGGAAAAATGTCAGTTGAAGCACAGTCATGAGCAAGAGGCAACAAAAACCATGACCAGTTCAGCTTCAACAAACAGCGGGTACAATAACGATTTTCATTACGCCGTCGAACGAATTTGGTGTGTGCGGTCTCTCTGAAATTAAGACGCATATTTTTTTTCCTTCTTCGTTCTGTGGCAACCTGGCGAATCAATAAATTTGTTTTTTAATTTTTTTTCGCTTTTGTTTTTAAAACTTAAATCAATTCCTTCTTAACATAAATTGTTCAAAATAGTCGATTTTTAATCAAATTCTTTGCTTAGAATGTGTTTCATTGGAGCATAAGTGGAAGCAGATGTTTAGAAAAACGGACCATGTTTGTTCAATAAGCCCGAACTTAAACTATTTCAATTATCAAACGAAAGTTAACGTTTAAATTTTCTTCATAGTCTAACAATTTAGAGAGCAAAAGAAACTTGTTCTAATGGTCAAGTGGCTGTGAAAATAGTGCAAACGTTGTATAATTAAAATAAGAACACATCTCTTTGTTATCATTTCAACAACGTTCAATACAATGACTGATGAAACAGGTTGGTAAAATTCATTTTGTTTTCGTTTTCAGCATACGTAAAATAATATCTTATCGAATTGTCAACGTCATTTTGTGAGTCTCAATGATTTGAGCACGTTCACAAACAACGGCATATAGCAAAAAAAAAAAAAAAAACAATACAAACAAGGCAGCATAGCGATATGGTCGTTGTCGTGCATGTATATAGTTCTAATCAAAGAAATCAATATCGTGTGCAGAACCACCCACATGTTGATTAGACCAATTCGTAATGTAATACATATGTGTAATAGTTTCAAGCAAGAAATTCACAAACACTATTGGGATTCGCAGAATGAGAGAAAAAGAAATCACTTGCATTAAGAATGAACATAATCGAATTCACTGTAATGGACTACCATACGGCGATGAATGGAACGTGATGTTTAAATATTTGCGCAACTTTTTCTCGAGCTTGTTTGGGTCGAAATACGTTTTTTTCGTTGAAACTTTTTTGTAATATTCTTTTCAGATTTTTCAGCTTTTGATTCTTTTTTCTTTGTAAACAACCACTTTTCGAGTTAAATGCGAAGCAAGCACATTATGTGTGTTGTTGTAAATAATTCATGAAATCTTCCTGCAAAAAAATTAAGCACATTCTCGTTCTCAATATCTCTCCTTCTCGCTCTCTCAATACATTTTTTTTCGCATGAATGAGATGAAAGTACGTATCAAATTACATCAATACAAAAAGTACATTATAAAAAAAGCAGATTTTCTTTTGTCGGTATAGCTACAGCTACACATCGATGACGAACGTTACCTTTTATCGATTGCAATTGTTTTTTTCTCGTTCATTTCTAAAAATATTTTGTTCGGTTTTCATCAGACTGACATTTCAAAAACAATTTTATGCTCTGAAATGGAATCAAAATGATGTTTCTCGTCATTTTAAGTTATCATTGTTACAAATTTAAAAAAGGAAACCATACAAATTCGTCACATATTCATCTCATGTTCGATTTAGAACGAATTCTCGGAAAACGAGCAGCATGTTCATGATGTGCTACATAAACAGTAGTATAAACGTTGTGCCATTCTACGCTTATTTATTGATACGAAAAAGAAGAAAATATTGGGTATCATCGGTGTGTAGGCGTCATACAGAAATAATTGAATCGTTATTTTGCAATGTGATAATATACAGTGAAATCTATTATTAATTTTGCGAATTTTCTTTGTTTGCACGTGGTAGTAAATTTTCATTATCGAATAATGGACTTTAATTAAGTGCAATGATTGAAAATAATCAATTTCCAATTAATTTCTTGTGCATTGTGAGTAAAGTCGCCCTCAATTCACAAGATTCAGACGTATTTTCACCATTCTAATGAAATGTATTGTAAGTAATTACAGTGGAATTTCATCCGAGTTTCAACTTCAATGCCCAAATCAGTACAGTAGGTTTCCACCCGCAGCGTGTGAAACCAATATGTATTTGAAAAACTTTGGCTTCTAGCAAATCATTGCAAACATCCATTGAAGCACAGCACTTTTTTCGCATTATTTATTTATGACATTTCGCATGCGTGCAGTTTGCGAGAACGATGAACAATTGTATATTTAAGGATTAAGATATCACCGCATCGTATATCGGATTATAAGCACACACACACATTGAAAACACACTCGAAGTGAAACTGAAATCTGTGAAAAATGAAGACAAAAACAAATGAACAATACTAATTTCAAAGTTTTTACTTACAAGTAGTTTGAACTTTCTAATGAGTTACTTTATGTAAATGAATTCGAGGCGCGCATAAAAACATGCATTTCGCCATATGGTACTTTCAGAGAACTTGCCAAACTTTTCACAAAGGAATGCAGTAAGAAGACGCAACCACACGAGCAACCACAGCATTATATTGGTTGACTTCAACCACCGCAATATTAACTCTTATTCAAAAATTGAAAATCCATGATATTTTTCTTCTTTTGGTAAAACTCTCCGGCATCGTTTATGTTTCTTTTTATTAAACAATTTTAATAGGCGTTTCGAATTCAATTTTTTCATAAATTTCTCTTTTTATTTCATTTCCAACAAAAATACAAAAAACCTCGAATATTCCTCAAATATTTCGGCAAGCAGTAATGTCGGTGCACACAAATGGTTGAGCATCCCTTGAACAAAGTGACTTCGATCAAGGCAAAATAAAATTATAAAAAATCACAAATTATTGAATAGCATATGTTTTAACGCACACCTCGAGTCAGAATATATGTTTAAAAGATGCTCTCATTTTAAAAATAATAATAATGCAATATTTTCTTGTTGATTTATCAAAGTTTACATTCAATTATTGTATTTTCGGTGGTAGAAACTCAAACTTGAATAAGAATTGAAAATTAACATGCTCTCTGCGTTTCACTAAAAAATACCATGTAAGAACCATGTCCAACCGCCAAAATGTATTTTTTTTTTAAATGTTTCGCGAAGGAATTAAAAGTTAGATATATTTCGGAGAATGCTTAATAGAATGCGTGAAATTTCATATTTATCTTTGGTACAATACGTATTTCAGACTTGATATTAAATTCCACGCATGGAAATACAACGACTGAATAAACATTTTGGATCTATTTAATCGCATACCACATAAAATCTTGTATCTCTTTTTGTTTGCTGTTTTTCAGAATACAGACACTGTCTGACACACATATGTTGTTTACTGTATTACCCGCAATGTGTTTTTTGTTGTTGCGTTGACATGAAGAAAATTCAAACTCATGTTTCATCAATTTATGCAATGTGATTGAAAACAGGCAAATATGAAGAGTAAATGTGGCGTAAAATTCTTAGAAAACGCACATCAAGTGGGCAGAAATATAAGAGTACTTTATTGTCGCATTCCATTTAACATTCATTTAAAAATCATTTGGAAAATCTTGATTGTATTCAATTTGAATTGAAGGGTTTCGTGAAAAGGGTAAGTTTTGCGCATATAAAAAATGACCTTTTTGCTATAAGGTTCAAAATAACTCGTCGTGTGCATAAAACGCAATCTGCCATCGATCCTTTTATATTAAATACCATTAAAAAAATGGATTTCACAAGTGTGGTGACAACTTTTTTACTTTGTTTTTAAATGTTAAATGTATGAATGCTTTTTCTCCTGCATATAATTTTATGTTCAAAATGTTCAAGTATACCTTTGAATGAAAAACCTACACTAATTGTTTTTCTGACATTGAATCGAGATTTAATTTAAGTTGCTATAGTTCACAATGGCTTCCTACAATTATAATGATTAAAAATGGCTTCCAGCAATATTTGTGGCTTTTTTCACTTTTTTCTTGCCACTTTTTTCACGTCATAAAATAAACTGAGTGTACAGGAACAAAGTGCGTATAAATAACGGTCATAAGTAAAGAAGAGAAATCAATATCAACTATGACCTTGACAGTGTATGCTCCGTCAATAGTTGTGCTTGTTTGTTTGAAGCACGTATCCAAGGATATTTTAAACTGGATAGATATAAGTATTACAGCATTGAAACTGATAACAAATTTTATTTATTCCATTTATTTTATAGAAGCACTTGATTTCAAAGAGCAACTGTTGGCCAACGTAAAGGAGAAGGCGAAACATGTGATGGAAGAAGCTGTAACACGGAAATATGTAAACGAACAATCTCTAACAGTAACGCATTTGTGTGCAGCAGTTGAAGAATGCTTAAGTCAAGGATTACGTCGGCGAGCGCTTGGTCTATTTAAAACATCATCAACGACAGCATTGTTGCATAAAGTGGCCAAACACTGTCCCGAGGCGAATTATATAAGCAAAAAAGTTTTGGACATTGAAAATGCTGATCCAACAAAGCGCTCATCGTCAAGTAGCGACAGTACAAGCAAACCACCAATTCTGAAGAAAAATAGCAACACATCCATTACAAATAATTCTAGTCCACCATCTCCAACTATAAAGTAAGCTTGAAAGCGTTCACATTTTTGTTTCGACCAAAAGAAGATGAAATAATTGTTTTCTTCTTTTTCTTAGGCATCTTTGGATTCGTTTGGCATTGTATGAAAAGAAATTGGCACGCATAGTTGATCATTTGGTAACAAATGCATCGCGCTATTATGAGCGTGATTCATTAGTTGCGGATCAAAATTTTGGTTCAATTTTAAGTTCATTGCTCATTGGTCCATGTACTTTGGAATATTCACGGCCAAAAACACCTGAATACATTTGGAGCGATCCGGCTGCAGAAGAATTGGTACAAAGACATCGTATCACCTCGTCGCAACCAACACCACCAACATGCCGACGGCCAATTATCAATTTCAAACGAAGTTTAAACAGTTCAGAAGATGGAAGCACCAGTTCGTTTAAATCGAATATTGTTGAATCGTTGCATCAAAATCATCGAGCCACACTACTCTATGGAAAAAACAATGTGCTCGTGCTTCCGGTGTGTAGTATACATGATAAAGTGAATAACTCCTTCATTCTTACTTCTTATATGCATGCATTTCTATTTGTCTGATTGAAATGGCTTTCCACAAGAGAAAAATACAGAAAAGTTAGAAATCGACCGTAATTATAATTAGCACTATTAAATTTTTCACCCTTTTTTTATTACCACTTGGACATTTTATGCACTTATTTATCTAAAAGAAATTCGATAAAACAAATGTGAGAATGAAAATTAAGTGAAATTGTTTATTTGTTCGGTTTGCAGAAAGATGTAACGGAACCGTTACCGGGCTATTTGAGTTTGCATCAAAGGCCACACTCATTGATAATTAAATGGACACCAAATCAGTTAATGAACGGTTACATTGAAAAAGATGATCCGGATGCAACTTCTTATTGGGATTATTTTAACGAATTAACAATGACTATAAATGTTGAGGATATCGTTTATGTGCATTGCCATCAACAATCAAGCGGCCAGGATACAAGTGGCACCATAATTCTCGTAGGGCATGATGGTGTACAGCGTTCGCCGATCATATTTCCAGAGGGTGGACATATGGCATCGTTTCTTCGTGCATTAGAAACTGGTCTACTACCACATGGTCAACTCGATCCACCAATTTGGTCGCACAAAGGTATCGGTAAAATCTTTCCATGGGCTTCGAAAAACAAACGCAAACCATTACCGCTTGTTATGGAATCGGAATCGGAAGAAGATGTTCCAATTGATTATGTTTTTCGCATTGTTAACAAATCAAACAATGAAGAATTTCGCGAATTTTTATCCAAATTTCAAGTGAATCATCTTCGCAGTAAATTGCAATCAGTTACAAGCGCATCAATTTTAGATTTGGGTCGTACAAGCCCAAGACGATCACATCTCAGTAGTTCGTCTACGAATGAAAGTAGTGACGGTTCCAATAAAAGTCTGTCATTAGACGTGTACGCACCAGACAGCCCATTAGTTGTAAGTGATCCATTGGATTTTTTTTAATTTGCATATTTGTACGACGTATGAATCATTCAATTGTCTTTCTAGGTCACCACAAATCAAACGGCAAGTATTGCATTAGTTTGTACAACGATGCGCAAACAAATTATATCACGAGCCTTTTATGGGTGGTTAGCGTATTGTCGGCATCTTTCAACCGTACGAACTCATTTATCTGGATTAGTAAATGGACGAATAACGCCAGAAAGTAAGTCTGATCTCGTTTAATCTATCAAATTTGTAATTTAAACCATAAATCACATCACTATTTATCAGATGGTGCCGAAAGCGGACTAACAAAAGATGTATGGAATACATTGAATGTGAACGGCGTTATAAGCGATTCAGACGAAGTATATCGTTTGGTTTATTTTGGTGGTGTTGATGAAAAAATTCGCAATGAAGTCTGGCCATTTTTATTGGGCCATTACTCGTTTGGTTCAACGGCCGAAGAGCGTTCGGAACTTGATGAAACCAGTCGACATTATTATGAGACGACAATGAGTGAATGGCTTGCGGTTGAAGCAATTGTGCGACAACGTGATAAGGAAAAAACTGCAATGGCTGTTGCTAAATTGAGTTCGGAAAGTGGAAGTGATCAACAGCAAAAGGGGAAAAAAGTTGGACTGGATCCAGACAATGATATTGAAAACGATGTATTCGAAGAGAATGGATATTCGGATATGTCCGAACCAGAGGAGTACGATGACGATCAACCGCATCGCAAAGATAGCGATAAACCAAATGAAAAAGTTGAAAATGTGGTTTGTGAAAAACCAAGTCGAATGAATAAAAGTAGCACAGATTCCGGTAATGTTGCCGATAGTGCTGATGAAGAAAATGAAACTGACGAGAACAAAGAAATTGTTGAGGCTGCTGAAACATCAGTATACCAATTAAGAGCTGAAGATTTACCAATTTTAAATTTGGTTAAGGATCCATCCGATGAATTCAAATTGGCTGTTGACGAAACGAACAGCAATAAAAGTTCACCATCATCGTCATCATATCAAACCGTTGCCAATGATTTTGTCGACTTGGCCGGACAAATAGAAGATATAACTATTGACGAAAATGATATAATTTCATCACCTACAACGAATCATCCACATGCAGTCATTGTCACCGATGCTTCAATCGACATTGTAAATGTTCAACGAGATGTAAATAGCGGCGACGACAATGATGAAGAAGAGAAAAATAATTTATCACCATTACAAGAGGAGATTGCTGGTCAATCTTCATTGGATGCACTACAAGAGCCAAAATCGGCATGCGTATCGCCGGCCAGTTCGAATGGCGGAATCTATAGCGTAAGTTTAATTTACATACATTATTTTGTGCAAACGGAATGTTAATGTTTTGGATTGCTTTAGGGTGAATTGCTCGAGACATTTGGCTTGAATTTACATCGCATTGAAAAAGATGTACAGAGATGTGATAGAACCCATAAGTATTTTAAAGTGGACGAAAATTTAGATAAATTGAGAAATGTCATTTGCACGTAAGTTTTAGAAACGATATTCAAAATGTTGTCCAATGGTTTCGCTTTGTTCTGAACTCATTTTATTGATTTGGTAACTAAAATTAGATATGTGTGGGAGCATTTGGAGATTGGTTACATGCAAGGAATGTGCGATTTAGTTGCTCCATTCTTGGTTGTTTTCGATGACGAATCAATGAGCTATAGTTGCTTTTGTCGTCTGATGGAGCGCATGATCGAAAATTTTCCAAGCGGTAATGCAATGGATATGCATTTGGCTAACATGAGGTAAAATCTTTCCCAATCAAATTCACTGACATCTGCCTATATTTACCGATATAAATATATTTTATTCTCGGAACAGATCATTGATTCAAATATTAGACTCTGAAATGTATGATTTGATGCATGCACATGGCCATGACTACACACATTTCTATTTTTGTTATCGTTGGTTTTTGTTGGATTTTAAACGCGAACTTCTTTACAAGGACATCTACACCATGTGGGAAATTATTTGGGCGGCAAAATTTGTAGCGTCATCCCATTTTGTGCTTTTTATAGCGCTCGCATTGCTGGAAACCTATCGTGATGTTATTTTATCAAACAGCATGGATTTCACCGACGTGATTAAATTCTTTAACGGTATATTTACAGATTTTATTTGTATGGTTCAGCTGTGATTTGCGCAGATTTGAAAATAGAGATTTACGGAACCTAATCCAGCATAAACGACTAACATGTGTTTTATGAATATCTCCGTTCTTTTTTGTTACTCTGATCAGCATTTTTAAGCAACTAATTTAATTCAAATTTTATCTACAGAAATGGCCGAACATCACAAGATGGACGAGGTACTGAAGCTGGCTCGAAATCTTGTACTTCAACTACAAACAATCATTGAAAATATATAAATGAATGAGAAAAGCTCCGTTGCTGGGTGTGAAAATTATTTTTAAAATGTAGCATCCATCATTTATTAGAGCTTATAATTAATACACCACTGGTAGACATTTTACATCTCGATTATCGTGGCAATAGCAGCACAACAAATAACTTACCTAGTGACAAACAAAATCAATTCATTTAGAGAAAAAAACACACACTATTTAAAAAGAAAAATAGATTTAAATGTAACAGGAGACGATTTTTTCTAAACGTATATTTTTTATAAATATTTTTTTTCAGACAAAATACAAAACCAACAAAGAAAACCGTTGTTCGTTCAACAAATCACAGATTTATATACACATTCAAAATGTCCCATGCATAGAACCGGAATTTGTTGAATAAAATCAAGAATAAACGTATATGCCAGAAAATGTGTCCAAATAGATTCCATCTTTAGACTTTGCATTTTATGAATTTTTCTTGAACATTCTCATCGTTGACTGATTAGAATTTTTTTTTTTTTTTAATTTCAATCAACATTTATACCAATTATTAAAATTTGATCACTATTGCATCATATAATAAATATTAAGTCAAAATGAAATCAACAACGAGAGTAGTAGAGTTCTTCGAACACAATATTCTTCTAATTGTTCCTGTTAAATTTCACAAACTTTTATTTCCGGAACAAAATAATTTTAACATGAAATTTTTTTTTAATTAAAATATTTCATATCAAACAAAAATTATTTACGATAAATAAAAACTGGTTCAGGTATTGAGAGTAATTAGTTGAGAATGAAACGCCCTTAAATGATTTAATTAAAAAAAATAAAATCATTCCAAATTTAAAATTATCGTCTATGTATTGAAATTTTATTCAAATGTATTAAAAAAATCTATTATTATTTTCAGTGTTTTTTATCTCATTAAGTCTTCTTTTTCGAGATTCAAAAGTGCCACTGAAATTTATGTCATTTAGTATGGATGAAAATGTGAAATATTGAAAAACCCGTTGAAAATGGATTTTATAAAGAACTCACTCTTTGCAATTTTAAGAAACATGACAATGCATCAAAAAGACGTACAGTATGTTGTTTGAAACACCAAAAATGTCACAAATTGTACAGATTCTTACCAATGGCGGTTTTCAATGAATCCCATTTTCATTCGCAGCCGATGTTAGTGAAATCAATTAATGAGCATTACACCCGAATGTGTGAAACATTTCAATCATGATTATAAAAACCAATATTTTTATGTGGAATTTAGTAAAATCTATAAGAATTTAGAATTTGAATTTATTTGTGAAAAATTTCCGGATTTTAAGCTTCAACAAGCATTGTTAAACACTTTTTTAGAGAAACAAATTCTTCCGAATGAACATGGATTATATATATACACCATAAATGACTATTGACTATTATTTTTTTTAAATATCTATAGCATTTTTTGTTGAAAAATATATAAAATTTATTTTGAATGCTCTATCAAAATCGTCATGGTATAGAAAGAAAGAATATGAAATTGATATCGTACATGATCGTAAAAAAGCGCTTTTCTATGTCTTCTTCTACAATTCTTTACGATTTGTAAGTAAAAAACCTATTTATTTAATATGGGTCCGTGGCCCATCATTAAACAAGGCCAAAAAATTGGAGGTCAAATCACTTAGCACGTGTGTGCAGAAAGCAGTTGTTGCTAACTCTATTATGTGTTTCTATGTGTAGCTAAATCATATAGTCTATATGCAAAATAAAAAAAAAAATATGTAAATATCAGGATGAACAATAATTCTTTAAGAATTGAATCCAAATCAACATCCGTACTATGTATATTGAAGTCATAAAATCAACAATATTTATAAATAAAGTCACTACTACCATTATCATTATACGCTATGAATTTTTTTTGAGCCAAATTTTGTGTTTGCCGCGAATCAAAAGTAGAACACTTTAGAAATTTTTCATTCAAATGAGATTTCGTTTGCTTTATTTAATTTATGTACAACGTAGAAAAGGTGTGAAAAATTGGTTTTGAACGATAATTAAATTGAGAACTACGATTTCTCTCTCATTGTGCTTTTACATTGGGCTTGAGTGATTCCATTGGAGCCAAAGGTACTGGCTGATTCACAACAGTCAAACCAAGTTCTGGCATATTGGTGGCATTTTCAGTTGAAGTTGCTTGAGTTGGGGCTTCAGTAGTCGGAGCTATAAATATTTATGCATAAATAAATGTACTTTAAATTACACTTCACCAAATATTTTATTCAATTCTCATTCACCTGAAGTCGAAATAGTAGTCGAGACAGTATTTTCCGTTGTAGTTGTCGTAGTTTGCGAAACCGTTTGATTCAAATTTGAATTTTCCGAAGCTGGTATTTTCGGTGGTTTGTTGGAGACAATAATGATCGTTGGTCCATCTTGACTATATTGTGGAATATTCCAAAATGGTAGTGGTGCCCAATTTTGCCAGAACCACCCGTTTTGACGTGTTGGAACTTCAACAACTTGTGGTGATTGTGTTTGAACTAATTGTTGAGGATGTTGAGCTGGTGGCGGTTGGACCGGTACGGATTCAACAGATGGTACCACTTGAACTTGCGGTCTGAGAAATGGCGGACGAGGAAAATTTTGAAAAAAACTTATGAATGGTTGAAATGGTTGAAATGATTGAAATGGCTGCAATGGTTGATAGGTCGATTGGGGTGCTGCACTAGCACTCACAAAACACAATGTTAGAGCAACCAAACAAATCACGGAACTATTCATTTTTAGTCGATCACACTTGAAGTTGAATGAAAATGGTTAGTACGTTTTTCACAAAATGGTATCGTCTCTTCTCGACAATTACTCACTACAGACTGTGTCCCACCTATCAGAATTCATTGGATTTATACCAGCCTCGCAATGACGAAATAAGTGACACTTTAAACAACAATTTTCAAAATTTGTGTATGTTCTAGTTCTAGTGTGTAATTTCGCAAGTTTGAACGCTCTTTTGTGTTGGAAGACGGAAAGAGAGAAAGAAAAACATACACAGCAGATCGGTATTTTTTTTTTGGTTGAATATTTGCTTAAAATATTTAACATTATCTATTTATTATTGTTGTTGATACAAGAAACGGTCTCTGAATTGTATTGAGTCAATATACTGGTACACATTTTGTCAATCTATGCTTTAGTGGAGTGCAATTTTCTTGGAGCTCATGAAATATGTCAACATTTAAAATGTCGAGGAAAAAAGAACAAACGTTTCCACGGTGAATCAGGTCATAATTTCCATATGTGTTGCCGTCGAAATCATCACAGAGAATGTGAAACTCACACACGCTTTCCAAAACAATACGGAAAATAACGGACATACTGAATTCATCAGAAAACCTCAATACATGTATCCAAAGATGAGAGAGACTGGCGTAAAATTGACGACACATTTCATATACGCAAAATTTCAAACAAAAACTGAACTCAAGCGTATTTTATGCACTTGATTGATTAGCAGGTGTATGATAAATGATCGTTTAAATTCGGTGACATATTTGAAAAACATTGCATATAGGAAATATTTTAACAGTTTGATACACATAAATGTTTTATTAAATGATGGATGCATGAAGGCCTGACGTGAACCATCGCACGGTAAATGTGGGTATTAAAAAACCACAAACAGATATGCTATTTCGCACAAATTGATGAAATGAGTAAAAAAAATTTTTGAAATGGCTTTGAAACTGGGAATCAGTTATGTAAGCAGTCAAACTTTGAAAAAATGCACAAAGTTTTGTCAAATGCCAAAAATATGAACGATTGACAAAAAATTACATAAAAAACTCAATTCAATCAAAGTGAATCTTTTCGGGAATAGCATAACTTCGGGGGTTTTCCTCGGTAATTAAACAATCGAGTGTTTTGGAATTAAATAACATTGTACTTTATTTATTTTTAAAATTCACCAGCCAATATTCACCTGTATGAAACTGTATGTTGTTGATAATTATGTGACAACAATTTGTGTTATCTGTACATTTTTTTTTTTTTCAATCATGTTATGTTCATTTGAAAAATAATAATGCAGATAATTTAACCTTATCGTTAAATTTGTTATCGATTTAGCATGGAACTATTTCAAAGTGTGTTTAATGATGCAATTAATAAAACTTAATATAAATATGCGAATTTAATACGAAAAACGAAACTTCCGGAAGAAATTCTATCACAGTCGGCTGTTTTCGATGACTCTATAAGATGGTTGTATGTCTTTATTTGTGTGTGTATTTCCATTTGGATAGTATTGATTTGTGGAACCGTTGCTTTGCGGATGGGTAAACTGTGGTTGTGGTAAACCATCACCCACGAATACTTTATTGTCATGACCCTCGTATATCACTCTGGGAGCGGGTTGTTGTTGATTTGTACTGTCATCGTCCGAAGACGGTTCCATTACGAACATCGTAATGAAAAATAGCACTGAACCTGTAAAACACAATGAATATTCATTAAAACTGGAATTAAAATGCTTTTGTAATTATATCAAAAATTTTAAATCAATTTTACTTACTCAAAAGATAGAAACCAGCATAGAAAATCATTATAGATTCACGATATCCCAAGTACTTGGCAACCGGATCAACGAGGATTGGAAGATTGCCGCCTACAGAACGTCACAGAAGAGATAGAGAGAGAGAATTGAATAAAAGTCGTACATTTAATATAACATTCTTCTTTGAATTTATTGTGCTACTCACCGATATTATTCATCACAAATAGGAAAATACCAACAGTCGTTGATCTCACTTGGAAAGGCACTATTTCAACCAAAACGGCAAAAACGATTCCAAACCACATCTCAGCTGAATAATGGGAATGTTTCAAATCATTTAACTTGTTCAAAAATTAATTGAAAGCATAGAAAATTTATATTCGAATATTTTAATTAAACTTACCGAAGAAATAACTGATACCCAATGTAATCATAGCCCAAACTGGTTCAAAGTAAACCGATCCGAATGCACCGGGTGTCGAAATCAGCTGAGATATCGCCAGAACGGCTACACGTGATTTAATTCCCATTTTTGCGACGAATACATCCGATACTACACCACCAACAACAACTCCGATGGATCCTATTTTTGTATGCACAATTTTTTGATATAGTTACGGATATTTAATTGATCCAAATTACATTGAAATACTCACCGATGCCAATGGTTACGGCGAATAACCACCAACCAAGATCGACGTCCGGAAAATAAATGCTATAGTATAAATCTGCATTGTATGCAAAAGTCATGCCTCCACAGTGACGAATTGATGCTGCAATTGCCAGCAAAATAATTCTTGGTTGTGTTAGCACTTTATAGAGAGAAACCTTTTTGCGACCATTTGCATTCGTCTGGTCTTCTCCAATTGCTTTTCGTTCCGGCTCTTTTAATGTCGTACCAGTAAAAACAGCAACAATCACAGCAAGCGCCCCGGTTCCATAGTAACAAATTCTCCACGACTGAAATGTAAATCGATATCATTAAGTAAAAATGGCATCATTAAAAATGTAAAAGCAGAAACGTTTTTTTATACATACCAAATCCCAAATGTTTAATTTTGTAATATATCGACCGACGGGAAAAGCGATACCGTATCCACCATAAATACCCCAGTTGAATATTGCCATTACAAGCGCTCGCTTCTTTTCAGGGAAAACATCCGACATTATACCTTTTTCACAAATTTTATAAAATAATAATTATAATTAACGAAAACGATTTCATTTGCAACTCATTGATTTTGTATGAGATTGGACTTTAAAGTTCCATTCTAAAACAAAGTCAATGAAAGAAAATCCATAAGTTCTGAGCGAAACTTTGTTAAATATCCGTTTCAACATAACATAAAAAAACATACCTGTTGCAAGTGGATTACATCCACTTTCACCGGCTGCCATTATCATACGCAATACAATCAATTGCCAATAGTTTTTAACTGAACCTTGTAGTATAATTGCAACGGCAAAAACAAGCGTACACACGCTTAACATTCTGACACGATTATATTTGTCCGCGGCAATTCCAAGAAACACACCCATGATTGTGAAAACCAGAATGAAACTCGGACCGGCCAACAATTGATAATCAAGACCCAAACCATTATAATTCCATTCACAATAATTTATTCCATCCAAATTCAATGCAACGCATTCGGTTTCGTTCATCACAGTACTGCATTGGACAGGCAGCTCGTGTCGCGTAAGCGAAGTTACATTCTGTTGGCATGCATGATCTCCATAGTCTAGGTCAATGGCTGTTTGTTTCGATGTTACGCCAATCAAATAATGACCGAGTTCACCGAGAATATATCCAATTGTAAGAATAAATAATATATAGGAATCGTATAGAAATCCCAATTTCTTGAGCAGTTGAGTCATCGTGTTAACCGCTAATTTCACTCTGCAAACAAAAAAGGTAAATGAAAAAAAAAAAAAACAGGGAACATAATAAATATCAATTTGCCTTTTACAAAAGCCATTTTGTTTTTCTAAATTCCAATACTTTTATACGATTCATGGTATTTTTCAGAAGGTTACATTCCTTTATAATCAACCTATACGAATACGATATGTTCTTTTTTTCATTCATTGGACATACTTTGCAAATGCATTGAATGTTATTTCACATGCAAAGCACTCACAAACTGGATTCTACGTAATGACTTTTAGCATATTTTCCGCTATAAAATGAACAATTAAAATGATTGAATGCCAGATGATATGACAAAAATGTGTCACTGTAGCTGTGACACAGTACAAAAAAAATACCCAGAATGCGTAGACAGATATTCCATGCCATTTATTTTGATTACACATTGGAATATCCTTTTCCCCCTTAAATTAGCTACTTATTACTTTGTAGGAAAGAAATTTCGCTTTTTCTGTGTACCTCGTTCAATCAGGCTCGTTGTTGCTAAACTATGCATGCGACAGAAAATGGAGTTCGCGCGCGAATCAATTTAAAATTTTAAAGCGTCATAAAATGATAATTTGTTTCGCGCACAGTGTCATATGCAAATGATTTGTAAAAGGTTTGAGAAATATCCTACTCATCTATTCAAATGATAATTGCTTCGTACACGCATCACACGAGACAATAATAATCGTCGTAATATAATATATTAAAATATAAAAAAACAGACATTTAATTGTTATTGGATACCGCTTTGAAACCCTAACACATCGAATACCGCAATTGGAATAGAATAAATTGAAATCGATTCAATTGGAATCGACAGAAATGGATAGACCTTAAAATTGCAACAATTCATTGCTAATGTCAAGCACATGGTATATTGAATGCTTGCCGACGTTGATGTATGTGCACTTTGGGAGTACACGACAAAACAATGAATCGAACAAGATCTTGACGATTGTTGAGAAGCATTGTGAGCATACGAGTGTCATACAAAATAATTAATTACAAGTTAAGGAAGTAATAAGGAGTTAAACGTCGATGAAATTGAAAATACTTTTGAACACCATCGACGTCACTAGCTTTATTAAATACATATTTCCAAGTGCTCTAATTCAATAATCAAGCATTAGTTCGCAGTAACGCCTTCTAAGAGTTCTAAAAATTTGCTGACTAATTCAGATGCGGACATAAGTGTTGAAGCGCCAATCCCATCTCTTTTTTTTCTCTTTTTATTTTAACATTATGTGAACTTCATAACTACTCATATAGTAAATTCATAAATCGATTCTATCTTGTTGCTAGACACTTGCGCTGACAGAATAATTTGAAGCTCACATTTATGACGTTTGACCAGAGAGAACAAAAAATATATACGGACAAAAAAAATGATAGACGTATATATTGTTTCGAAGAACTTAGCAAACTTAGATTCTAAATTCTCATGCCACAATTTTTACCAGTGTGTGTGTGTGTGTGGACCAAACTTATTGAATGATCAAGTTGCTATGCTATGTTGTTTACCTTGAGATTACGATTTGTATGAGCTTGAGTATATAATGTTCTAACCAAATTTATGGCTGGTCACGACGAGCATTTATTTCATTTTCTCTTATGAACTTTTGACGATAGCTGATTATAAACAGATTTTCGCTTTCATTCCATTCATCTAATAAATCATATTTTATTAGAATCTATTCAGAACAGCTCAAGAATTATTATTATTCTCATTAGTGAGGCATACATGTTAGATGATATGTATTCATCCGAATTATTCACCTCGTATGCATATCGGCTTCTAAAAACACAACAACCGCCAGCGTTATGAACTAAACTATTTATGCTCTCATGTAATATGACTTGATAAAATGTTTTGCATCGAAGTTATTACATAAATGTTAACCTGTTATTACTGACAATTCATAATAAGCACTGAACATCTGGAAACAAATCATTTCATTGCTAATTTGCTCTTATCCATATTGATAATGTTATTAGTGAATCAAATTCAAAGACGTTTCACCGATTAAATATTTTAAATTCATTCAATATTTTGCCATATTTGAATTTTAAATTAGAAATAACTGATTTTATCCATCCAAATTTTTTGATTATTTTAAATATTTAATTACGGCAAAATAGTGCTTGATTCAATATTGTCAGTTTTGTGGAAGTATTAATGGGCCTATTTCAAGTTTAATGATTAAATTTGAATTTTTTGAAGAAAAAAAAGTCCAATTATATACGAAAAAAAAATAGCTGGCATTTTTGAATGAATATTTATTGGTTTGCTTCACGACATCATCGAATTGTCAAGGATAATAAGCATCTTTCATTGGGCTCTATTAAACTCACGCTATCCCTTTCTTTCTCCCTCTTTCTTTTCCATTCTTTTTTTCTTCTTCGCTCAAACTTCTGCGTCTTACGTTCGATAAAATAGCGTTTTTTTGAAATTACTTCTAACATTGCAACATTGCGGTTCACATTTGAATTTGAAATGATCGTAGCGAAAGAAAATTATTCACCTGATATTAATGATGTGCTACTGTTAACCGCAAATAATGAATAAAGCAAGAAGAAGAAACTCGTTTTTCTTTAAACAGAGAAAAATGTTTTGTCAACATTTGTGAAATTAAAATCTCTTCGAAGCTAACCTGAATCTTTTTTTTTCTTCGCAAAAATTAAACCGAACGAGTATCATTAATGTTAACGAGACGGTGTTTATTCTTTGCATATCATCTTATAATTATGACACTCCATGAAGTTCGTGATACAATTAATTTTACATGTTATTTATAATACACACTGTTGTGCTGTTGGTCTGTCACAATGTCTTATTTTAATTCATCGAATTAATTAGTCGAGTTATTAATATTTATTTTTTTTTTTTTTTGCAGAATGAGCAATGTTATTATATCATATGTTTCATTGCTCGGTTTGTTTGCCACCTGTGCACAATACACCGAACATCTGTATCCGGCACATTAATTACAATTAATTCATTTGAAATGCTAATAAACAAACATTTTTCACTTTGATTTTTCTTGAACATTTCCATATCGGCACATCGTTCAGCGTGGGGGGGGGTGGAAGCCTCGACAGCATTTCAAATATTTCGTGCTGCGCACTTATTGAAATTGCATTTCAGTGTCGAGAACACAAAGATATTCTTTGCATAAATGAAAAATGTTCGGTTTCTGTGGCAGCACCAAAATAATAATAATAATAAATCGTGCGCTGATTTTTCCTCTTGATATATTCCCTTGCATGCTGCACAACAACACGAATAGCCAACGCATGGTATGTATTAATAAAGCAAAAGAAGAAGAAAAAACCAGTAAAGGCAGTCGTGATCAGTACACGTTTTGCATTTGAAATGTCATTAAGCAAAGTAATGTGTACGGTTCATTCTTATGAAACTCTTTTCTTTCTCATATTACATAGTTCACATGCATAATTGAATACGTTTATCGGAACTATGAACCGCCAAGCGAATCGCAACGACACAATACAAATAAAAATTAAATGAACATCGATTAAATTAAAACGTAGAAGTGTAGTATGTCGAAAAGCGTTGATGTGTATAGTAAAAAAAAAGTGAAACAACAATTGTTATACACCAGTAAATACGCAATTGTAACCTTGAAAGGGTTTCAAGCACATAACAATAAAAAAACTGCTTTCCCACAGTACGATTATTTTGTTTACAAAAAGGATATCTGACTCACTGATGTTCATCGAATTCATTACAAATGGGCGATGAAATTACAAAAATAAAATGAGTAAATAATAAGTGAAGAGCACGAAAGAGATTGGCAAAAAATATGCAAGTAATTACGAATTATTCTTTAACGAGCAACCAACGGTGGGTTTATTTTTAGGTAGAAAGTGCACGCAATTTTTAAGCTCAACATCCAATTCGATGAACTTCAGAAATATATTTTTACGTATGAATGTGTATGTGGGACCTTTTTTTCGTCAAATTTGGGGATTTTTATAATTTTATCCAATTAAAGAACATGTTTCCACCGGAAATTCTTCAAGAAATAACACACAATTAATTGTTTGGCGCTAAAATAAATAACATCGGTGTGTGGCCGCAAGAGCCTATGGAATAAGTTTGTTTATATCACACTGCTGCTTGAATGGGTGTCACAGAATGACCTCGATTTGGAGCAACAAGAGATAATTTACGAGTTTGTTACTTTACCATTGAAGTCATGGATTATCAAACAAACGGGCTGTTACCGTCGTTGCTGCTGTTGCCACCGCCAGACAGTGTCAATTGATAACTTTCAAACGTTAAAAAAGTTCCATTTCTAATTTGCAAAATGTTCTTTTGATGTCATCAGCAGCAATAAAATTTGCTATCATTTGACTAAAAAGTTGTGTTCTAACATGTGGGTTCAACATTGAAAACAAAAATAACGAAAAATCAGACAAAGTACCCAAATGCGAAAGTTAGAGTGCTATTACAGCGTGCAAAATCAAAAATAAAGAAACATGCAGCACCAAAACATAAGATTGTATTATGCCATTAATTTGAATAAATCAAGATTGTTTCAATTCAGAGAAAAAAGACTCGGCGTAACAACAACACTTTGTGTTTCTTCTCCGTCTTTGTGTTTTTCTTCTTATTATTTCGTCTTCATTCAATTAAAAAAAAAAAAAGAAATAAAACTGAGAACAAACACTGTATAGAATGCATTCTCTGACTGGAAAATGTCAATTTTTTATGTTTAGAGTTGGTTCTTTTGCCAGCTGACGTTATTGTTCCAACATGAAAAACGGGTCACATAATAGACACATTACAATTTTATACGACACAGAAAAAATCAATGAACGAAAAATCATTATGCATTCTTTTGTCTCGCTTTCATGTTACTTTCAATCTTTTCGTCGTTTCAATCACTACCTATTGTGGGTATATGCTCGCTGTTTGCTTCTCAATCCTTTGACTTTTTAATTGGCTGTTATTAACGTCAAAAACACACACACACACACATACACCGAATTTTATGTAAATCTTGAAAATTTAAAATAAAACATATACGTAATTCATTGTTGAGATTATGATTAAAACTTCGTCATTTCTAGCAGACCAAATCGGATCAATTTAATGAACAGTTAAAAGCGAATATTCCACAAAATGCATTGCAATTTGGGTTGCGTGCATTCAACTCGTTTTCATTTTGGGAACATGATTTTGCAGCTTGTTGACAAAACAAGCAACAACAACCGAATCATGACTGTGTTTTCTCTATTCTGGCGTCAGTTTAGAGCCCTCTTTTCTGATAGGCATCAGTCATCACAAACTTAAATAGTATTTTTGTTTCGAAAATTGCAAACAAAACACGACCGAAGCACACGAAATGAGTATGTATTACAAATTGGCCCGTTTCGGTTGAATCATATATCGACACTAATATGGTACACTCAAATTTTTTCATTAATTACCTCAACGGGAAAATTGAAAATCTATTGCGTGACTATCTGATTTGAGTCTTAGACACTTTGCGCCAAATAAAGGTATTTTTCTCCATTTAATTTCTATTATTGCCCAAATTTTTTGCTACGACCGCACTTACACAAAGATTTATCGAAGGTAAAAAATGTTGTGAAATGCCTTGTTTATCAAGTTCATCATAATGCACACGCACTGTTGCAGTTGAGCTCTTAATTTAAACGCAAATCAACATGTTGTTTCATTGTAAACACAATATTCTGCACTAATTTTATGTTTCTACATTTATTTATTTTTTTTTCTCATTAGAAAAATATAGGATTGGAACATGTAATTACAGCATTCCACAGCAATCAATTCTTAATTTAGATGTTGTGAGAATGATATTCATGAAGAGTGCGTAGCAATGACATGATTCGACGACGGTGCAATCAAATGATTTTCTTTTTCGATTAAAAATGGTTGCCTTTTCTTGAGTAAAAATAACACACCAATGAAAATATTGTATAAACTTACTTCTTTGATCGAAACTAGACACTTTATTTTTTTTTAACTTTTGCTCAACACTTCTCTTCAAATTTTGTACTTTTACTGATATTTTTTTTGCCAAATAAAATTCTGTATCCTTTTTGAAGCAAAGTGATTTTATATGGTTTCAAAAAAGAAAAAAAAAATCTTTTCAAAATCCTTTGCTTCTCATGGGATTTGTATCGTCTTGAATTGGTCTACAATCAGAACTACTTTAAGAGTTGTGATTCGAGCGGTTAACAAAAGCGATCTGAACAAGAATCTTTGGTGACCGATACTCATATAAACGCCGATCACTCCGCACCAAAGCCGACCTGTTAGCTGTTACAACTATCATTATTGTTGTTTGCTTTCATTGTTTTGGTTTTTTTACACATTTTCCTATATTCGCAATCGTTTAAAATCACCCAACAAGTTGTATACTGCTCTCTACACTAAACCAAGCGAATACATGTACAGCACACATACACACAAACAGACAAACGCTCATTACTCCTCTCTCTCTCTCTCTCTGACACAAGTATTTGCTTTGGAAGAAACAACAGCGTCCAGCAGCACAATATCATAATGCGGTCTTCTTTGTTACAGTCATGCATAAAAGTATGTGTGTGTGTTTTTCTTCTTCTTCTCATTTCTCTCACTAAGTTTCTTGACTCGAATCGCAACGATAGGCAGACGCGCATCAAATAAAAAACCTACACCAAGAGTCAGTTTCTATCACATGTTTTAGCCAGTTTTGATAGCGCCCATTAAAACCAATGACGTACTCGCCATCACAGCAAATTCATAACATATATATATATGCGTTGACGCTCATACCTTCGGAAGTTTTTTGTTTTTATCTTCAAAGATAAAAAAATTCATGAGAAATCCGTTCCATGAAAGTGGGAATATTTTGCTTGCATTACTCACATGTGGCTGTTGTAGTTATACTTACTCAAAATTAGTTTGCGGGAATATCCAGTGTACATGAACCGAACGGCTTTTATGGCGGTGATGAATTCATGCATCTTGGGAAAATCCACACGCATATGAGACGAGAACTTGTTATTTTTATGCGTTTATCTCTTTTATATTGCGGTTGCTTTGCGCTAAACCAATTCGTTAATTTGTTTGTTCGTTTGGATGGGTTTGCATGCTACACTGATTTACAGCCCACAGAACCATCATAGTAGAAATTTGTGATTTGATTTTGTTAGCGTTGTTGCCATTTTAACATTTCTTGAAATTCAATCATGTGCCATCGCTTTGCATATTCAAATGAAATGTGACTTACAATTAAACTGGTTTTCTCGGTGTGTCTCTCTCCATACCATAAAAAGAAAATATTATTGTTATGAGATGGTAAGATTGGTAAACAAAATAGATTTCAACGCTTCAATAAAATTGAAATTTCGAAATGAAAATTTACTTTGTTTCATTTCCAAAGAATTTTCTGATATTGATTTCAATTAATTTTGCACATTCTTTTCAAGTCCCATTGCCTCTCATGAATAATACATAATGTCACAGTGAGTTGCCATTATTTGACATTTTCGGCACTCGACAAACCAACATCATCAGTGAATTGATTCATTTCATCATGAAATGAATCAATTTAAAATGATAACGCATCTTTTGGAAATAATCTTTCGATTTTGCGTGAAATCAAAATCTATCGATAATACCTGATTCAAAACAAACTACCAGATAATATATTGAACTAACTGGTCAGTTGAGCTGACAGTACGTTAGCCAGCTAAATGGGCTAAAACAATAGACGTTATTGTTTTAATGATGAATCACTTGACTTGTTTTAATAGAAGTGATTGTTCATTATAACAATAACTTCTATTGTTTTAGTCCATTTAGCTGGCTAACGTGCTGTCAGCTCAACTGACCAGTTAGTTCAATGTATTGTCTGCAAACTACACACAATTATACAGCATAAAATTTTGGTTCGATAACATCGTCGATCGTATCAATTGAGCACTTTGAATTTCTCAAAGAGAATTCGTTGACTAGCATAGATGCCATGAAATTAAAAGGCATCCCAATGTGCACCATCTTTTGTACTGCGCCAATTTTTTTATGAAACAAATTGAACAATTAAGAACACAAAACGACAATAATGTCTCAAATTCTAAGTTAGAATACAATTGACACAATAAATATGTGTGACGGATGTGATTAATTTACCGACAAGGACGAAGCGTGCCAATATTGTGATATTTACTATCGTGAAATATCAGATTTCTCACAATAATTTTCGGAATTTCAATTTTCAATTTTAGAAGTTAAATGAAGTGCGAAATATAATGAATTCCACAATAAAATGCCGCGTCATAAAAATAAATAAGCATAAATGAACAATTGAAAAAGTTAGCGTCCGTGGCCAATTGCATTGTGAAGTTGATTGGAACGCGTCTGCTTGTCATTAAGTTCAATTGATTTATTCATTGATTAGAACTGAAATCGGCCGATGTTGTTGATATCATCTTAGCGCCACAGCTGTGCCAGAGTACACACAAAACTCCTTAATAATTATGGATACTCAATTTATCGCCAAGTGTGTGTAAAGTCATCACGTTTTTTTGTAGATAACGTTTGCATAGAGATAGCGAATTAAGTCAATAATGAATTCTAAATTGTACGAAATTCCGGCAGTTGTACAAAAAAACCGGCACAAAAGATTAGGAAATCTGATAAAAGCGAAAAAACGCATTTTTCATAAAAACAATCTGCGACACATCCAATCGTCGCCAAAAATGTGAAATGATGATGGAAAGTTACTCTTTCTTCGTATAATTTTTGTTTCTCTATGTCAACTTATGTATCTTTTTTATGTATGTCTTTTTCATTGCGATATTAGAAAGATTAACTGGAGTCCAGTTACTGAACTATACAAATGACATATACATACGCAAATGATGAAATGGAAACACGTGCTCATTAAACTGGGAATTTCCTCGCAAACAAATAAGCTGAATATCAAATGCGTTTGACAATCTGTTCTATGTATTGTCCACATACATATATAAGCGATGACAGAAATAGCCAGCGTGGCTTCATTTCAGTAGAGTATTTTGTTATTTTTACGATTGAATCGATTCGATTGATGGAACGGTCGGGGGACTTTTTTTACGTAATATATATATATATATCGATAGATATTTGATGCCAACGGTCTGTTTGAAACAAGAGATGGAGATTTTTGCTGTTTTGAAGCAAATAAACTAGTTTAGCTTGACGTCAAATATCTATAACATTCCATTGATGGAGAGTTTTTATTCAAAATATAAACCACATAAAAGCGTTTTTTATATGATTTCTTGATATTTATACTCTCTTGTTTGACAATAAACTTGAATAAAAAAATTGGTGCACATTTCGATGACTTTTTTATGAATCTGACAATTTTGTATGAGCAATTTCAATCAAACAATATGGTACAAGTATTGTACAAAACATACAGTATCATAGACTTTCTGAAATTATGTTATTTTGGATGAGGTTATTGAACCAGTTGACAGATTTTATCAACACATTGTCTCTGTCTTTCTCATTACAATAGTTTTATCGATAGAAATGAAGTCAAAATTGTTGATTTTGCTTGAAAAAAAGACTATCATCCAACAATCGTTCATATTGATCTCTGTGTCTAGCATATATCTATCTTAATGTTGTGACTGTTTTGTCTCGCCATTAATCCAGAATCAATCATCATAGCCAGACTCTGCAGTGCTTCTTTTCTTTTTCTCCAAAAGATTTTTTTAAAAGAATTTTCGCGTCAAAAACTGGTTTTAAATGATTTTAGTGTTTCAACTGAATGAATAAGCCGAACTGAGAATCGTTCATTCTGCAATTGACTAAGAACAACATGAATACCAGTTTTGGTCGTGCAATCGTGTTATAAGAGACCATTGTAGTTCATTGTCGTTGCTGTTTCATGTGTATTGCACTGAACACACTGTCGATTAACGTTTGCTTTTCGTGACCTTAGTCAATGTTTGTGCTGTGCGTTTTTAATCTCTTACTTTCATGTGGTCTAACGGCGGTTCGTTCATTTTCATTTTGTCACACAAAGTCAATACGTCATGTCAGTCAATAAATGTGAATCATGTGACTTACAGTCGTGCGTAAACCAATGCACATCTATTTGTGCTTTCACTCGTGAATATTGATTTAACGGATATTGCTATCTCGTTGTTGATTTTCAAATTGAAATTGATATGTTCCCATACAACTCAAAGTCATATGATTAATTGCTGCACGATAAAATATAGCACATAATAACATAGAAAATAATAATAAATAGATATAAAAGAATGCATCCTATAAGCCGCTATACATATATGGTGCGCGAATGTATAGCATAGCATGATTGTTTAAATGCCAAACAAACGACGTATGAAACGAACAAAGTCCAATCAAAGTGCAATCATGACTTGTGAATGAAGTGCAGATTCTGTATAAATTGTGGTGATCCCATGCATAATTAATATGTTTATTTGCAGTGGTGGAAACGATTTAATTAAATTATTGTTAGCAAAGATTTGTGGACGGTGCTTAACCTAAATGCATATTTTGTTTTAGATGGAAGTAAAGAGAGCGATAGAGAGAGACAGCAATTAGAATGGCCTGACACATAAATAATAAATGATTTGAAGATAGACACAATAAATGTCGTATATCTAGTCGATGACCACTTTGACGGTCCAGAGTTATTATTGTGTTCGTAGTGTTTTTGGTACGAATAAAACGATGTTATATAAACTGACGTAATTTAACTTGTATGCCACGGTCATGGTAGAGTAAATGTAGTAAAGTTAGTCATATTGTTTACTTATGATATTCTGCAAGTTGTGTCAAGACGAGAACTTTTAATTTTTTTTAAATCAGTATGGCATTTTTTCAGTTTTTATGATTGTTTGCTTCTACGTAGTAGCATCTAAATTATTCTTTCGAAAAAAATCTCCATGTTTTTCACAAATTCTTACACATCAGATCAAACTATGACTTTATCTAAGCCGGACTAATTAAAAGAACCCATTTACTTGTTGTGCGGTTGATTACATTCCATGATTGTTGTCATGAATGGTAGATTAAAACCAAAATTTGCCATACACATAAATATGCAAAACGAATCGATATTAATTTTCTATTCGAATTCTTCTTCATCTCTAGTTCTTAGCCGATTTCTGAATATCTATTTTGCACACGCAGACACACACACATATATGCTACATTCTATTTTGAGCCATCAAAAAACTGGAGAGGAGTCATATCGTTTCGTTGAGAATGTTCTTTTAAATTCAGAAAATGTTAAAGGTGTGCTCACACTTCAACGCGCCAAAAACAATATTTTAACGTTTTTTTCCTGTTAAGAAGCTGGTTATTTATAAATTATTCAAGCCATTTATAAATAATTTGTCATTAATCAATACTGTTGAATGTAAATATACACTATCTGCTGTACATTGTTTTTTTTTCTGCATTAAATACAAAAGTTCATGACTGAGCACATTTGCACCGGTCGGACAATTTCGTTTTCTACTTTTTTTTAATGTGAAAAACATACAATTTGAATTGTGGGCGTTGGATTTTAAATACTCATCGTTTATTGATATATTTTTATTTTAAATCGGTTGCTGGTTTTATCATGTGAAATGGCCCATAAACACATATAGAAAATGAAATCGAATCAGTTTGAAAATTATCAACTAAGAATATCATATCTCACGTAATATAAATGAAATTGAATACCTTTTATTGACATTCAGTATTTGCAATATTTTCTGTGCATTTTCTGCTTTGAATCGCATTGTAGACTGTAGAGGACTTTAAATAATTAATTCTTTGAATTAAATTTGATCCAAAATGATAACTCAATCATCCCCCATCTGGCTCAATACATTTGAATTATTTATTTGCAATTCAATCTGTGTATATTATGTGCACACCATATTTATATATCTTTCTCTACCTCAATAACAAGTAACATTAATTCCATTGACAAGTCAAACACATCAATTAAAATTCAATTCAGTTGTTTGTGCACGTAAAATCTTGTTAAATAACAATAATTCAATTGGATTGAATTCTACGAGTGAACGAGTGTACGAGCGAATAAGAGACATGGAGTGAGACAGAGAATGGAAGAGAGCGAGATACTCATAGACCGAAATTGATTGGGATGTGCATAAAATCATCTTGATTGGTTTTTCATTGGTTTTTGGATGATGTCAAAGATAAAACCGCCAATTCATCGATTTTATATTACTTTCCATTTCGCTGATGCATAACCACCATTTATCATGTTTTTCAAACTCTGTTCTTTTTCGCCTCCAAACTCGGTTTGTTTTCACTCGATTGAGTTGAAAATTTTATTGTTAAATAATTAAAATATTATAATTGAATGGTAGGAGTTCATATTTGATGCTTTATTGTGATAGTATACAATAAGCGGACAATTGATACATGTGATTGATTTTGTGGTTACTTGCAACAAATTCGATGGGAAATTTCAATTGAAATGACAGAGCATGCATAAATTAATGTGCAACCGATGACTTCAATCAAGCGTATCAAGTTTCATTTAATTAATTACCGGCTATGTTCGACACCCCATTTAATGTCATGTCTGTAGTTTAGTATGCAATTCAATTCGGTGTATATAAATCTGCTTAATTGTGAAGCTAAGCGATTACTTTTTATACAAGTAACATGCATTTTGTTCAACATAACTTTTAATATAAGCGGATTTGACACAAGCATTTATTGTGTGTGTGTGTGTGTTGTTATAGCGTACAAATAGACACTTTCTGTTTACCACATTAAAGTGGCCGCAGTTTTACAACTAAAATATATCTACATGTTGCTATTTTTAACATTTAATTTCCTATCAATTAGAACAAATAAATATTATTAAAAAATAATACAATTATGTGCGCATAAGTGCACAACAATTCATAATTTATATGGAGCTGATAAAATACCTCAATTAATATCACTCAAAGCACTAAATTATCACATTAAACGACATTAATGGTATGATTCGCATTTGGAAAAAACATAAACATTCATCAAAAGCCACCCAACTCTCAAAGGAAACTGGTTGTAAAACTTTTTACAGAAATACTGGTGGACAATAATTTGTTGAAATATACTCTTAAAGTTCATATAGATTTATACGTAAATAACGTTCTATTGGACAGGTAAGTATGGTTTAAACAAATTAAATCCGTGTAATCGATCCCTTTACATAATTTAATTTAAATACTATGATAACTTTGAAGGGGTAAACTTCAAAGCTTTTTATATCCTAATGCTGAGAGTAAAAAATGTTTATCGTTTAATGTGGTTGGTAAAAAACCGCATAGAACATTCGCTTGAAATCATCCAGTTTATGCCAAGTGAATGGCTCATAAAATACTTTGCTCATGTGTAAAACGCTCATTTGTGACTTGTTTCTTCGTTTTCCAATTTACATGTGCAAAATAAACAGTATTTTTTTTCTCCATTCAATGACAAGGTTTAGAACGAAACGAAATGTTCATTATGACATCGAATCCAAACACGACGCTATAAAATATAGCTTCACATTTGCATTTCATTGATACATTACAAGCAGTTTTCAATTTTCATTATCCAGTTCCCTCGAAGATTGCGCCAGAAACAATAACAAATGAAATGAACATGTGTAATAAAATAAATATCTACTCAAAGAAGGAACAACGATATTTATCGTTTGAAAAATGAACGTTTCGTTATCATTTGAAAATTGAATATTTAAGTGCCGCAATGTATGCTTCACACGTTCAAATTAAACAAAAAAAATGGATCAACAATTTAGCGTGAATATTGATTGTGTGATAAACATTTTTATATTCATATATTTGCCGTTTCTAAAACAAATGGAGGAAAGAAATTCAGAAACGACCTTGACTACCATAAAAATCATGTTTCTTATTTATTTAAAGCTCTATATCTTGCGTTTGTTCACTTTTTCTCGCGCGCGCGATGTAACGTCTATTTTTATTCTTGTTTCATTCTTTTGACGATTCCATTTGATTAATTGGATGCGATAGAAGAATATTTGAGCATTTGGTTTTATATACATTATGTAAAGGACAATTCTGTATAAAATTTCGCTTTTTAAAATGGAATTCTTATTCAAGATTTTCGATCCATTTTCTGCTTGTTTTTTTTATTGAAAAAATATGTTGATGAGACAATGTTAGCTGTCGTCGCACACACTTGATCAACGTGCAGTACTAATTTTACATTTGTTTTTTGTTTGCTTTTTTTTTCATTTTATTTTCATATTGGCTTCTTCAAATCGGCTTTATACTTTACATTTGATATGAATACATTTGAGATTTTATTGTCATGGCTCTTTTTGGTAAATTCTGCGTAGAATTTTCGGTTTTATTTTAATTTTATTCCTTGTTCCCAGATCATTTAAATATCCATAATCTGTTGAAACGTTAATCCAAATAGTATGAAACAATCAAGATTTTTAATTGGCAATGATGCAGACATTTTCTTATATTGAAACAAATAAAAAACTTTTTGTTGGCATATTCACAGAATTTATTTTATATTAAATTTACATCGTTGATATTACGATTGGATTCTAAAACAAATTGGCTGTGGATGTAAATGTTTTTTTAAAATCGACCTGGAGGTAAATATGTGGGTGCGGTAGTCGATGGCTTTCTTGTTGTTGTTGAGGTTGTTGTGGTGGTTGGTGGCAGGTATGTTGCAGGTGAGCGAGGTTTATTTGTAGCCGTTGGTGGTGTGGGCTTATTTGGAGCCGGTGGTGTTACAGGCTTATTTGGGACCGTTTGTCCTGGTTTATAATCATCATGAACTTGTGGTGTTGTGAATGGTTTTTGAGTACTCTAATATTAGAATGGTAAAACATAAAAACATGTAGTTTCTCTTAATTTTCTGATGTATGATTAAAAATTACCACTTTAGCTTTGTAAATGTCACAGTTTGGCCATACTCCAGGAAATTCTGGTGGACATGATGGTGTGTATCGGCAATCTGGTTCAAATTCTCCGGTCCAACCTTCTCCGGTTTGGCATCTAATTCTTTCACAATTTGGATATCTTCCACGATCTGAACGAATCACAAAAATAGTCATTATCGCACACAGAAACAAATATTCGAGTATGGTTACTCGCACTTGCGGTGTTAGCAGAGAGTCTACCCTTCAAAATGAGTTACGCACTCAATTTTACTCTATTTTTGGTGTTAATTTCATCCAAGTGAACGCATCGTAGTGAAAGAAGGAATACATGTGTAGTCATAGCCGCATGCGTTCAACGTACATATGACTACACATGTATCTCTTCTTTCACTACGATGCGTTCACTTGGATGAAATTAACACAAAAAATAGAGTAAAATAGAGTGCGTAACTCATTTTGAGGGGTAGACTTGTTTGAAGTACTTTTTCATTTTTTTTTTAAAAAGCTATAACTTTTTCGTAGAGAAAAAAAGAACTTACGATGTGCTGGACATGGTGTGTAACAATTTGGTGGAGAGCCGACTTGTCCTTGTGGACATGGTGTGTATACATGGTGTGTGTAATTGTATTTGCAGTGAGGTTCGAATTCTTCTGGATTGAGCGAGTGTTTTGGACAAGGTCTGTAGTGACAATCTGGATATGTTCCGTATTGATAGGCACCGCATGATGGTGGTGGTGGTGTGTAAACTTTAGGTGCAGCTGTTGTGCTCAAATACCATGGTCTAATATCACAAAGAAATAAATGTAATAATCTCGTTTGAATATGATTTTAATAATCAAAAAAATTACCGGCAGAACCAATGAATTTCATCAAAAGCAAATGTTGGCGGGCATTGGCAGTGTGGGGCATCACCTTGATAAGTTTTTTAATATACAGTCAATATAAATCGTTTGCAAATGACTTATAAAAATCTAATAAAAAAATACTTTTATTACAAACCATATGATCCTTTCGGGCAAACATTGCGGTCTATTGCAGTGCAAAGTTGTTTCTCTACATCGAATTTTTTTCCAACACCACAGTTACAGTTTGGATAGATACCAGGTCCATCTTGAGGACACTGCCCGCCCAATTCTTTTAAATTTGATGCACACCTGATGATATGTAATGTAAAATTTATGATGAAAAATGAAAATCGAAATTAATTTAGCTTGAACTCACCAATTGTAATTAACATCAAAAACAGCACCGTTTAAACATTTGCATGATGGATAAATACCATTGCTATTTTCAGGACATTTTTGTTGAGCAGATGCTGTGACAAACAAAGTCACAAAACATAAAATAAACGCGTTCATCGTCTAAAATAAAAGATTTTTAACCAAAAATTAATCGAATTATTCCACAACTTATTCTAATATCGATATACTTTCGCTTTCAAATCTGAACACTTACAATTTCTTCAACTCTTTTCTTCTGAATATCACCAGCCAAGTTCACACAATGAATTGAAAGCGAAATTGGATGGTTCTTCCAATTTATAGCAGGGCACAAATGGAACAACTAATAAAATGAAGATGATGCGAACTGGTTTATTATGGACACAAAGGTATCATTTTCAAATATTCAATCCGTAATGGTTAACCATGTCCATTTTTTCTATTCTTATTGTTGCTATCTTAAATACCAAACATATTTATGCGAAACCCAACCAAAACGCATAGATAATAAAGACAATATAAAATGCGTTAAATATAAATAACATAGAATATGAATTTGGAGAAAAAAAAACTAGAAGACACATCTCGTTTAAGAACTAGATGAACTGTGGATACGCAAAAAGAAAAAAATGTATTCTTTGATTGGCGTAAAAAAATTCAAAACTGCCATTGATTCCATCACAAACGCTTTTAAGCCGAATCGATTAATATGGAATGGTGGTTAAAATATTCTAAAACACGCAGGTGTTTTTAAAACTTTTATGGACTTTCAAGAATTGATCGTGATCGTTATCACATGATGATTTGGAATATTATGCATGACCTTTTTTTAGATTGCTGTGACAAATGATTAACATTTTTTTTTAACAACAACAATAACAACATATAACATATTCAGCAACACATGGTTGCCAAAGATGTCCACACATTTGTTTGCGCTTTGCTTGGCGAATAATTCAAGTAATTTGTAGCAAAAACATATGTTATGCAACGATTAAGATAAAATTGATAATTTTATCTTTATCATTTTTATTAATTTCTGATAATAGTTTGGTTGTTTATTTTATTCGATGACATATGAAAGATTGAACCAATTTTTTCAAACATTGGGTGAGAATAAAATAGAAATAAAGTTTTGAATTTATTTACAAAAAAAATAAAATAAATCGGTGATAAAACTTTTTACTAAAATAGCGCCAATCCACTGAACTAAACATCAAATTCTGATAAAGAATCCAGTTTTATTCTAATGATTCTTATTTCCAGGTTAAACAAGGTTGATGACATTAAACCACAATGCCAAACATGTTAAAAGGAATCGGTTGATTATTGAATAATTATTCAAATTTTAAATTTTAAAAAGTGATAGTCACTACTTCGCCTGAACGTATGCTTTACTTTTAGAGTCAAATTCACTGAGATAGCGCCTTTATATATAATTTTTCAATGATAGCGATTTTTGAATCAAATACTAAATACTTAACATAGTTACTCACTCATGTAAGAAAATATAATCTGTTTACGTGGTCTGGTCGCTTTTTTGGCCACGTTTGTCTTGATTATATTTGAAAAAAGTGTACTCAAAAAGTTGAATTTTGAAAATTTCACTGGGTGTTTCTAAATTATAACAGGAGATGTCAGATGTAAAATAGCCCTCACAGGTCTGGGAAAATCCACATAATTATAATACGCAAGTAGAATCTTTTGAAGAAACGGAAAATTACACTGTGGACGATTTCATGGCAATCTGTGTTACTTTGCTTATGTTTGACAACTTATCAGTATTGAGAAGTTTCAAGTGTTCATTCAAATAAAGTAGATGTTTTTTTAAGAAAAATAGTGTGGTTTTGTTTTTATTGTAATTCCATTGTACAATTTTTTTTCTCTTAAATATCCATATAAATGTTTATTGATATTCCTCTAGACGCGATTATGTCTGTTTCTTAGCTCTTCCAAACGTGGTCCTTCATCATAGATATTACCTAAAAATCAATTTGAATATTAATTTAAAATTGCTAGACGAAAATTCGGGATAAACTAAAATCAACAAGTGTTATTTGTCACAACAAGTGTTATGGTATGTGTAAGCTAAAAAACACAGTTTTGCTTACAATTCGGCCATGTTCCTGGAAACTCGTCTACAAATATAAAATATCAACAACGTTAAATATGATGAATGACAGGAAAATATGATATATTCATTAAATGAATTCGATAATGATTTGATTTGGCCTGACCTGGACACTTTTGGAAGTTGGATACGCTACAATGTGGATAAAAATCGCCAATCCATCCAGCTGGGCATGGTCTCTTTACACACGATTTAGTTTTCAAATCAAAGTACGCTGAAAATTCATAGAAAATAGATCATTTTTTAATAGCATGCATTCCCAACGAAAAAAAAAAAACTTTTCAAGAATGATTTCATTACAAAGAAAGAGTCTTACAGTTATGAATACAGCGTTCGTGACAAATTGGGAAGGTGTAATCTTGATCGTTGGGACAATGACAATACGGTTTGTCCATGGTGTAATTTTGTCCTGTTGGACACGACGTAGGGTATGATCTTTCATAATGCGTATCAACGCAGTGAGGATAGAGTAATTCTCGATTGTTTGGACAACGGATTGGTTCGCATTTTTTGCCATCCCAAATATGAAAAACTGGACAGTGTGGAATTGGTCCAATATCATAATCGCTACCATGAGTATCATTCAAATACCATGCACGACAGTACCAATGGACTGTTAGAAGAAAGACAAAGAAATGTAATAAAATGTATGTTGAGAGAGAAAGTCCTTCAATCAACACGCAAAAATAAATTAAAAATGTTGCAAAAAGCGTTAATAAAATCATATTAGAATATTTTACCATGATCGAGTTTATAGCCTTCTTCACATTTACAATTTGGAATTTCTCCGACGCTTCTATGTGGACATTTTGAACGATCGATATCCAAACAAATCTTTAAAAAAAAATATTTTATTGAATACGGCGTATTCTTATTATAGTAAACTTTCCATCACACTTACAGAGTGCTTGTGATCATAAACTTTGCCCAATTTGCAGGCACAATTTGGAAATATTCCTAAGAATTTGAATGAATCGAAATTAAAGTGGGTGTCAGAGAAGATCGATGTTTTTGTTATTGATCGATTAAAAAAAAAAACACTTTAGATTTGAATGATGTCATCTGTCTGCGGTATGAAGTAATTTGTTTTCAACAAACCTGAGGCATCGCTTGGACACGATCCGCTCAACGATTCTAATGACATTGGTGGGCAGATATTGTGCACCTGATTGAATTGGGAACCATTATCACAGACACATTTGGGATATTCCCCGGAACTGCCTGAAGGGCAAACTTTGTCCACATCACGTTTATGAAGTGATGATGTTGCTACACTCTCTATTAATATCAAAAATGATGCAATCTTTATTGCATTTATCTAATTAAAAAATACGAAAAAATTAAGTTTTAAATGGTGTCCCATTTCTGGACGAATCAATTTCACTATTTCAAATTTCAAAATTACCAGCTGTACAGTTACCATATTTAAAGCACTTGAGCACAATCACTGAACAAAATAAAATGAAATGTCGTGGATGTTAACTTCTATTTATATAAGAAACGAAACAAAAGCTCATGAATGCCAAATTGGTGTCTAAACAAGTTTGACGATTTGAGTCATTTATGCCATTCCTTTTATATTCAAATTGTCATACATGCTAATAATAATTTACAAAGGACAGGCTGACACTTTTGAAATAAAAGTCAACATAAATTAGCTACCAATACGTTGTTTTTTCTCCAATTTTTATCCTAAACAAACGAAATCGTATATTTTTGTTTATATAGAAAATGTTGTAGTGATACGGATGCTTTTTATTCTGAGAAAAATGAATTGGCTATGTGCAAGCTGCCTTGGGTCATTGTCAAAGATCATTCATGAAATTGTATAAAATAAGACTCTCTTTCATTCTCAATTGGATGCGAATTTTATTGTTATCTCAAATTTAACACACAAAAACTCGAATCTAAAACTAGAAATGACTAAATCAACTGAGGTAAGAACGACGTGTTTAAAAAAAATCTTATGCTTGTGCATTTTTTGTGGATGGTGTCATAGTTTATTGAAGCGCCTCACCCTTTCTATTTTTTCTCTCTTTTCTGTAATGATGCTCTTCTATAAATCTATTCCTCATTCTTAAATCTTTCAGTAGATCAGCTATTGAGGCATTTAGTAAATTTAATCAAGATGAAAATCAACTTTATATTCATTAATTATGCAATATTATGCATAATTTGCATGATATTTTATCAGAAATATTTCCGCTTATTACTTAAGTCAGCAATAGTTGAGCTTAACCAAATTTTGACTTTAAGCAGAATATCAAAACTGCTAAACTGCATTTTTTTGTCATTTCTAAATCTTATGCAAATCAACGTATTCATACTGAGAACGGTCTTTTTTTACCAATTTTGTTGTTGTCTATTTTGCAGTGGCCTTTATGCATGCATGATAATCTCACAGAACTTTGTCTTTTTTTTTCAGTTCATATGAACCACAACCGCATAATGTGCATGTAAGTTTCTTCTTATTTTAAACTTCAATGTGGACAGTTGGACACACATGAATGGGAAGAATATACCATAAAATTGTCATGTTTATATGCATTTACTTTGACATTAATGAGATTGTAAAATTTAATAGCGCTTGTCACATTATCATCAAAAACTGCACATTTGGTTAAAAACATGGCTATGTTTTACACATAAAAAAGTGTCTTTCATTCTGATTATTTTATGCAATAAAAAGAATTCAGTTTTATAGTCTGATTAGCTTTTATCGGCTAATTCATTTTATATCAAATCCATAAAATCCATATTAATTAAGTAATCTCTGACGAATGTTATCTTTTTAGCTTCTAAAGATCGTGTACTGTGGCCACAAAAGCCGATCAATCTGATTAGTCCATATATATGCATATTGAACCATGGTTATTTTGCATATCAAAAATCATCATAAAATGACATTTTTTACAATATCAATAAAAATTAATAAGTTTTTTATGTTAAAAAAAGCTGCTGCAAGTGCATATGAGAGATACACAAGTATTTTTGGTGCCCTGGTTAATTTTTTTTAGTTTATTTTATTACTCACTTTGTATGCTTCAAATTATCGTCTCAACGTAGTAGATTATATCACTATATTATTATTTTTTTAAATAATATATTTTCATAATCACCTGCTAATACATTTTTCTTGCTTCTAAAAATCTCTAATACCAAGGCTGTGCATGCATATGCGAACGATTGAGACATCATAAAATCGGTTTATTAATTATGACCTCAAAGAAATGCCGTGTGCTAGGCCGTCCCGATGAGTTGACACCACAATAAGCATATACTGGCTTGAACGAGATGGAGATCTAAGTAATTGAAGACCATTATATCATAATGCTGTTTTCTCAATGCCAAATCAATTGACGCACATTTACAATGTGTGTATTTTGGATATTTCAACGAAATCCATTTCGTCTGGTTAAGATGGCATAGAGAAAAAATATCAACGGCCTTATTAGTTAATCGAATTGAAATAAATGCGTAATTTTTTCACAAGTTTTTATGGCATTTTTATTGTATGTTAACTGGTATACAGATCTTCTTGTTCGTTATAAAAAATTAGTTTCTTTCGAACGATTTTTCATTGATGTAACGTTTATATTTCCTTGAGGGGTCGCGAACGACATTATCTTTGAAGATAACGATTTCATCACTGTAACAATCACATGAACATTTTCCAAGTTTTGGTGTTGTGTATCGTGTGGTCGTGGTAGATTTTGTGGTTGTTGTTGACTTTGGAGTCGTTGTTTTTACGGTATTAGTTGTACTTGTCTTTGTAGTGGTCGTTCGTGCCTGTGGAGTTGTTGTTCTTAGAGTTGTTGTTTTTCTTGGAGTTGTTGTTCTTGGAGTTGTTGTTCTCGATGTTACCTGGAAATTGTATTAAATATTAATTAAAAGCTTGCCTTCAAATTTTGGTATGAATAAAATGAACGAATTAGTTAAAATTTGTCAGAAGATAACAATGAATCATGGCAATCAAGTAAACTCTGAATTTTGTAGGTTTCTCTGAAATGTCAACTTTCCACTGTCATGATTCACACGCTCTTCTTTTCTATTTATAAAAATATTCTGTATTTATACATGATCACGTGGTGTTGTAGCATAAATGTTACAATTTGGCCATTTTCCTGCAATGATAAATCAGAAATGTTGAATGTAATTTATGAAAAAAAATGTGAAATGGCTTCGAGAATAAAAAAAAAATTGCCTGGAAAATTCGAAGGACATTTCGGAACTAATTTGCAGTTTGGTTGGTAGTCTCCTTCATGTCCCGGTGGGCATGGGATGCGAACACATTCTCCATTTGAGTTACGATGATCTAAGAAAAGACGTTTGTATAATAAATATAATAAATCTTTTCAAACGATAAAAAAGTATTTTGTTGGAATCAAAACATACGATATTGCGGACATGTCGGTGGTGGTTTCACACAATCGGGATAAACGCCTGTCATTCCAAGGTCGTAACAGCTGGGTGGAGCTGCACAATCAGGCCAAAATCCTACAGATAACAATAGAGATGTCTTTTTAAGTCATGATTTACAATGAAGCTATCAAGTTTCAATTTATTTTCACACTTCCAAATGCATATTTAAATCACACGTCAAAATATGTTTATATTTATTGTTAATGTTTAAAATTTGCATATTATGCAAACAAAATTCGCACATATACGTGAATATTTCCTGTTGAGTATAATCTCATGTTTGGCATTAATTTATAATTATAATACTCTTTTATTTTTGGTTATTTTAGTAACACTCTTCACCATCGATAGAATATATTCACAAAATTGCATCGATTTCCCCTACTATATTGCATCGTGTCAAATTGATATTAAATATATGAAATAAATTAGAAACCAATAATTCAGCATAAAAGAAGCGAAAGTTAGATGTTTCTGTAAAAAATATTCGATATTTTGAGTTATGGCCAATGAGTCAAAATTAATTCTGGTTCTATGAATTCTAACATGTTGGACCTTGAAAAATCATAAGATTAACAAAAATTGATAATTTTGGCCGACCACATGTAATTTGGCCTGTGCGATTTGTGGGGCGGTATTTTGGTCATTTATTGCGAATGATGATGGGATTGTTAAACTTTGAACTTTCATTAAACAAGTTATTTTATGAATTGCGATATGCGATTCTGTCACTTTTTTTAAATATTTATAGCCGACACATATTTCATTGTCAACTGATAAGGATCCTTCAATTCAACATTTATTTATTTTGCAAAACAACCGATTTGATTCGAAACAAAAAAACAGTTCAATATCGTCATTAAAAAATGACGTTAAGATTACCTGTTTTCGTTATGTACGCGTCTGGACATGGTAGCCAATGACAGTCTGGATATTTGCCCGTTTGATGTGCACTGCAATGATGTTCAATAACGCGAGCATAACAATTTGGATATTCGCCGATCATACCCTTTTGTTGACATGTTGGTAAAGTTTCGCAGTCCGGCCAGTAACCTGTGTTAACCGAAGAATATTTGTTTATGGAGAATTTGAAAATTCCAAACCGGTTTCATAGTTCTGCCAATTTCTTCAAAAAGAGATCTATTTTTAATCTATGATTCTATCTCTACTCACCGGTTTTCGATATATATCCAGATGGACAACGGTCCCATTCGCACTTATCACCATTTGGAACACGATGTTGATGCGCTGGACATGGAGTCGGTGGTGGCCGTGTCGTTGGTATGTACCACGGCCGACAAATCCAGAAAATTTCGTCAAATTCATATTTGAAATCGTTTATAGTTTCACAAACACATTTATTATTCACTTTTTTCGATCCAGTTGGACATTGAGATTTATCGACAACAACGCATTCATCTCTGTCGGGTACATATACTTTTCCATCTCCACAAATACATGCCGGAAATGTACCTTCACTGCCTGCAAAATTACAATTTAAAACACAGAAATTCATATGCAATCGTCTGTTTCGACATTCGTAACGATCAAATTCAATATACCTTTTGGACACTTGGCTAGTAAAAATTCTGCGTCTAAAACAGTTGCACATATCCGATTAATTTCATCATACGGATTTTCATTGTTACAAATACACTTGGGATGCGTTCCTTTCGCATTAAACGGGCACGATAAATCGTCATCGGCGGTTATGCTTAAAATGAATACCACTGCAAAATTGAATAGAACCACAAGACACCTCTAAAATATACAAATAAATTAATGATTTGTTTGAACACAAACACAAACACATATATCAAGCAATTTGTTCGAACATTGAAAGTGAAATCAAAAACTAAATTTCATTAAAACAAATTAAAACCTACGAACCATTTTGAATAGGCATGTGACTGAAAATAGACTGTGTCAAAGTGAATACGAACTATTCATATTTATACGTTAATTAGTGTGTGTATACAAGAAGGGGCAATACGGCTGCTTTGACGATCACTAGATAAACCGCTGTTGAATTCTACACGTAAACAACGGCATCGAGAACAAACCTGTTATGAAACGCGATTACGATTCCAAATATGTGCGATTTATCATCGGCAAAAAAACCGATAAAGAATGTCAAAATGTCATAGTGCCAAATATTATAGTATGTATCTAAATGAATTTGGCCATTTGAGATCATAAGGTTATAAAATATGTTATAGTACGTAGAAGTTGTCTAAAGAAAAGAGTTTGTTATCATCGAAGCAGTTCCGATACCTTAATTCTATAATTTGTTTTAATTTAAACATAAACATGTGTCTATAAGGTGTGAATTGTTTATGGGTATGAATCATAGAAGACCTGTTTGTTAATTTGTCGAATAAATTCCAGATAACTGACTTTTGAACCATCATTCTCATTCTTCATTCAAAGGCGTAACCCATTGAAATAGAATATTTGAAAATGTTAATAAATCGCTGTTACATTGTGAATTCTTCAAATAACGAGTTTAGTGTTGGTATTTTCAGTAACTCATTTCAGAGAAGTGCAAAAAAAAAACTGATTGGTTGAAGACTGAAAGCTTTGAATTCATTTTCATTAGCTTTTAATTGCCGAAATGAATTTCTGGATGATGATGATAAAATGCTGAGATTCTGAATACATAAGCAGCAACATAGCAGCTTCCAGCTTGGAGAAATGTAAGGAGCGCAGCGCATGAGCACGTTAGAGGTTTTTTACACATCTCTCATTGATACACATACAATCAAACACACAAGAATAGCGATGGAAAACATGAGTTTCATAAAGAGTACTAGAGATGCCACAAAGCACAACAACCACACTAAAATGGCTCTCTTGTGTTTTTTTCCTATTTATGCACACATACATACATGTATGAGCACCAATATATTCGAGCATTGCGTTTATCGTGAGAGAGTGTACCATTGAGAGAGAGAAATAGAGAGTTTGTGTGTTATGTTTGTAGCATAAAAGCGAAAGCAAATAGTTGTAACCATCAGTTAAGGTATGACATTTCTACAATTTGTTTTTCATTGAAACAGTGGCTTTTACTCGGTGAACACGTAATTAAATTGCATGTGTTTTTTCCACATCATTCAGAAAAACGTACGAACAACCGGATATTCTGTTTCACATAAAAATCGTCTGCAAAACTGTGTTGTACGAGAAGAAAACTAAGATTAACGCCCTCGTTCGACTTAAATCAGCGAAAATAAAACAGAATCAGTTCTCAATTGCAAAAAGGGAGTGTATTTTTGTTCTGATTAATTTTTTTTTTTTTTAATTATTCATAAAGTATAATTAATTGAAACATGACTATTGTGGGTGTAATGATTATATTTACAAAGTATTTGAACTGAAAAAACATTTAATTAATTAACAAAAAGAAATAGACTGTGCATGTAAACAGGTTAATGAATTGTCCGATGAAGTCTCTTTAAAAAAAAGCGCTAAGAAGTCATCATTAATCAAAGAAATTGCAAGAAAATCAAATGTAAGTAAATTTGAAATGAAAAATGTTTTATTTGTATGTTTGCATTGTGTAACGATGTACAAATTGATAATTTATGTCTGCTGATTTTTTGGATTAATGTAAATTTTTATCAATTGGTACAGTCGATTTGTTCGTTATCCATTTGGCTGTGAATCAATCATGAAGAGCAATTAAGCTGATTATTACGTCTAAGCAGATACTTTGTCAACATCATTTGCTCAGTTAAATTTTAAATGTTGTTGGAGCGGCTGTTCTGTTGATAAAGACAGTTAAAAGAAGATGAAGTTATATTTTCGGTTCAGAATGAATCGTGGGCTATGTTGATCAAGTTATCAACGAGAGAGTAGATGAGTTGATAACATATCCAAGAAAATATATGTATTTATATTGCGTGTTTAACTGAATTTACGCCTCTTTCGTCGCTATAGAGAGCTCATAATTCAATACTACATACTATATACTACACACACACACACAGGCAAATACACGACGAATGAAATGATCTGAGTTTTTGTGCGACGCACATAGAGAATGACGAAAAATCGCTCGTTTTTTACGCTGCATTTTTGGTTGTTTGTTATTTGATTATGTTGGAATAGTTGGCTCATTCGAGACGGTGAAAATAATTGACACTAGAGCCCATATAAATAATGCATGAACATGAACCGAGTTTGGCGCACACACTCGCTCATGGATCAATTCGTAAGAATTGATGATAGAGCATTCGAGCCATTTGAAGCCATGCAGACGACATGTGAGAAAATGCGTTGGTAGCATATTAACGGCACACAAAATTATGAACTTGCCTCTTTTATTGGTAATAATTATCCACACCAATATTCGGTATTATCGCTTAGCTACCTAAAAATATTTTGTTTCAATTGCTCAATCATTTGTTGATAAAGTTTTTATGCCATTTCAATGGTCAATTCATTTCTTATTCAGAATTATTAAAACTTACTATGCCAATACGGGCATAGCCCATGCAAAAGAAGAGAAAATAGCTTTTTGGGCAAAACAAAACGAAAAACATTCAGTGGCGAGTCACTCGTACGCGAGTGTATATGTGTATTTGTGTGAATCCTAATTGAAACCAAAAATAGCACATTACTTACACATGATTATTTGATTAGAATGCGTGCTTATCCCATGTGGTGAAACATTTCGTAAATATTATGTCTCAATTCAATAACAATATAATCGCACATAAAGTGAATTTTGATGTACACAAATAAGACGAACGAAAGGCTCCCTCTCTTCCTTTTTGGCTGCTGAATGTTGAACGGAGACGAAGAAAAAAACAAGTCTACAAAAAAATGCTATGCGCAGCGCGTGTTATTCGTTCATTCATGTCGCGCTGTTTGAACCAATTGAACCGAACGTAGATAGACGGAGTATAACATACCGTCGGATAGACGACCACAACATTATTAAAAAGAACGAGCATCATACGGTAGATTCATCTTAATTTTATGCTAGTTTAAATTTAAACTCGCACCAAAACCCAAACATTTCCACCATTATCATGGGATAAAGACGAATAATTCGCATCATTTTGTTTGGAATTGCAACGATAAAAACCATACAAATGGAAATTCCATGATTTGAATGAATTGTCTACGGTTTTGTTTGTCTGTCTGTCCTTTGTATAGCAATTTGGTATAATAAGCATGCTGAGCTTTTCCCTTTTAGTGCATTCTTACAACTTAAGCGACATTCGATTGAAGACGAAATGCTCGCGAAATTCGGTCGGAAGCTATTTACATTTCATGCGGGTTATGGTTCGTCATGATTTTCTTAACATATTATTAACATTTGAATATTTTTCAATGCGTATGCTTACAAAATATCGAAAGTTTGACAAATGGACGAGTTAGTGAATAAGATAAAAGATAATTGATTTAGGTGAAATTCCGTAGCCATCAAATCGGGGAAAAAGGTTGGCGAAAAGTAAATTTATGTGATTTGACATCAGGAATAAATCCATTAAATCCATAAATGCCATACAAAATTGTTGCTGCATTTGGACTTTTCGATGACGCTTAGAATTGTAAGTATATAAGCACATTTGGGATTTTTTTTTGCCATGATTGACATTCGTTTCACATATCAATTGGATTTGCACGTGCTCAGAGGACATTTTATGTTCGATGAATTCAAACGCATTAATTAGGCACTTCTAGTACTTAATCATGATGAGTAAGTCGTTGAGCAATTTACTTACCTAACTCAATGGAAACTCTGTGAACTAACTTGATTTTGCCCATTCGTAAAATTATCATTGCATGTCGATGTGAATCGTTAAAAAAGCACTACATATTTAAATACTGTATCAATGGTAAATGGATTTTTTCTTTGAATTTGCGTGCATAATCCAATTATTATAAAGAACTCCGCAGCTCGGATCAGAGAAACAGACATGAAAGCCGTTTTGTGTAATTTGTAAAGTCGGTTTCACTTTTTTTGCGACTGGTCCTTTCCTTTTCGAAATTCATGTGTTTTTTTTTCGAGTCGGTAAATTGTTGATGATTTAAATTTGATCCTTGATTTCGAAGCGCTTGAACTTATAAAAGAATCGAAGCTTGATAAAAACTTGTCTGGGTGACATGCTATTTTTTTTCTGTTTGAAACGTTTTTGCCCGACCGCTGATTGAAATAAATGAATCTGAGAACTTCTCGTACCGCACACAGAGAGTGTCGACAAAGGCGCAGCGCGAACCAACGAACAAAACGAATTGAAGAACAATTCATGAAAAGTCGCATACCAAACTGAAATTAAAAAAGAAGAACAGTAGAATTGAAGCATTGTAATGGCATTGACCTTGAAATTGTATTCTGTCTTTATTTCTATCTCTCCCTCTCTCTCTCTCACTCTTTAATGTTCGTTGCTTGTACGGTGCCAATGTTCATATAAATGATAATTCTATTAATGGATTTCAGTGTATCGAATTTTGATCTAATTTACCGCTATTTTGTCAACGAAGTGACAGCGAATGTTGTTGGAATGAAACATCTTTGGCCAAAGTGTGTCAAATCCAGTTTGGTTTAACAGAATTACGAGCGAAAAAAGTTTTAAGAATTAAAATTAAAATCGAACGAAATTGGACTCAACATTTTGAAATTGTCAAACTCGTATGAAATATAACATTTCATTTAAATATGGTTTTGTATTATCATGAACAGTTTTTTGTTCGATCAAAAGTATCTAGTTGCTAGGTGGCGCATTTGTTGTGTCAAATTTTTAATCAGCGTTTTACAACGAAAAAAAACGCACCCAAAATAATCAGAAAATTCAATTTCAACAAAAGCCCCAGATCCTTCAAAATAATGACTTTTCCGAAATGTTTACAAGCCGATAGACAGATTTGCTGGTGAAAATGAAATGGAAAGTTAAACACCATCATGTTTGAAAACTTTTCCTTTCAACATTTTCCTCATTCCAGTTTCATCAAAAAGCGTCGAATGCAAAAGACGAAAATGATGAAGAAAATATATGAATGTAACTTTTCTGTCGTTTGATTCATCTGCAATATTAACTTTTTTTCGACCACACTTGCACATTTATAAATTGAGTATACCATATTTTTCGGAAATGACTGTTTTTTTTTGCGCTTGGTCACCCCCAATTTTCATTTTACTCTCAATAATTTCACATATAATTCAATTTAAATGTAATATTTTCCAATAAGTAGCAGCTGGTATCAACGTCAAGTGATGTTGGTCATAATCATTACAGCGGTACGATGACTTCAGGATTTTTTGTGTGCCGTTCTTTCTATTGTGTTCATTGTGTCGCACGTGTTTCGGGCGCATTAAAAGGGCAAAAAATGAAGTGAAACTTTTATAACAATGATAAATTTTATCTATCCGTTTCCAATATAACAAAGAATGAATTGGGATGCGTTTGAATAGTTTTTTTTTTTTTTTTTTTTTTTTTTTCAAAAAAGTAATTTCATTCAAGCGATAAAGTTGCGTTGTATGTTTGTTATTTGATCATTTATTTAAAATCATCAAGCAAATCCACAGCAGATAGAATCTGACAAATAGATATCTTTATATGTTATTCAACGAAGCATCAAGAGCTATTCAATGCAACAACAAGAAAAAAAGAGCCTTGACGACGTGCCCATCATAAGAAATTTGTTTGCCTATAACTAATTTGAAGGCACTCAAATGTGTGATCCCATTTATCATTCAATTATGAGCCATTTATTTTGAACTTAAAACAAATTGGCACCTGTGCAATGGAACGAAATCCTCAGAAATTCGCACACCAATACTCACATTGAATTGATTTCAAGGCTTTATCATTCAATTGATGTTGATGTCGCCAGCAACCGTCCTCCAAGTGGATATCGAAATCACTTTGGGACAGCATTTCCGAAGGATCATCGAGATAATGTAAAACACGTTACTATTTTGTTGTCACTTGCGTCTTCTATCTACGAAAATAAATGGGATTATTTTTCAATTTCGTTTATATAAGAAGGTTTGTGTGCGATTTTTATATGGTGCTTTCTCGATAGAGAAAAAAAAGTGTACTTCGATTCATTGTTATCACCTTTACGATACCTTTTTTTTGCTATTCTCGTTTTTGTGCTTGAAGTGATGGAAAAAGCGCGACCGGTCGCATTTTGCTGTCGTCGTCAACGTTCTCAGTGTTCGCCGCTCTATGTTAAATCAAATTCGGTTTTGAACAATACAACAAATCCATTTTCGAATAACAACCAAGACAATTGCTATATCCATAAAAATTTATTCAAATTTATGTGTGGAAAGAGCAGCACGTGTGTAATGCGTGTACATTTCACAATGTACAATTCGTCAGCATTTACATAATCGCACAATGCAGCCGCGGGTGTGTATTTTTCTTTTCTTTTCTTTTCAAATCATTTGCCATATTATAGTCGTTTTTGAGCTGTAATTTTTTCCACATTATACCGTTGAAATGCGGGTTAAATTTGTTTCTTGCGATTGAATAATCCATATTCAAATAAAAAGTAGAAAAACATAACGATTACAGTTACGCACTGTTAAACATCGAAAGTTAAATGCGCAAAAAATGTAACTTCAATTCAAATAATAAAATTCTGTCGCTATGAAGGCAGGGAGAGAGAGAGAGAGAGAGAGAGAGAGAGAGAGAGTGGGAGGAATATAGGTGGCGTCGACAGACTGAAGAGCGAAAAAGAAAATTCTATTTTTGACACTTGTGAATCGATCCTTATTCGAATTTTGGCAACGAATTTTTTTTAAGTGATTTCCTATAAGATATGTCTCCGAAAAAACCTCGCTTTGCGCTAATGAGCAAATATAACATTAGGTGCACTTAAGCCACGCCAACTTTGACAATTATCATAATTTGGAGCAAGAAAAAAGAGAGTTCGTATGATGTTGACGTGCCCAATCATCTTATCAAATTACGTACAACATATTTCATTCGCAATGAAAATGGTGAAAGTTTCGTCATCGCTAGTGTAAGCAAAAACGAAATAAAATGATTTTCAATAGTCTATGCATAAGTGGAAAAGTCATTATCGCAATGAAATCATCTTTTAATCCATGGTTTGCTCATTAAAGTGATTACGGTAACGTTGATACGAGCATCCTTCAGTATCTTTAACGATCGTTGCAAAAACATTATCGGTTGCCAAGAAGTCGCAACTATTAAATTCCTGAAATGTTCAATCTGAAGATGTTCTGCTCCACAATTTAGGAAATTTACTGAATTAAAATAAAGAGATAATTATGCCGCTATGGGAACGCTGTCTCCCACATCGACTTACGGAACGACGGATCAAATTTAAAAAAACAGAGGTAATAAGGTTAACATATGGGTGTATTTGCGTGAACAAGTTAAATTTCACAATGTGTGGCATCAAACAACGTACTTTGACGCAAAAGCGGAAAAATGTTTTTCTTATTTATTCTATAGCAAATTCAATTAGCAGATCATTATTAAGAGTAAACTGAATTATATTCAAAACTACTAAAATCTTTTTCGTTCCAACTCAGTCTAACTTTCGTTGATCCGTCATGTGAAAAACAGGAAAATATTAACAACATTTTGCTGCACACCCACTTGCACCTAACGTGGAGTTAAATAAATGATGTAAATGTTCAAATATTTCAAATGATTTAATTGTTTTGATTGCTGTTTCATTGTTCAAATCCACACCATTGCTGCAAAGACACTTAGTTATTAGCGCCATCTAGTTTGTGCGCGAAAAAACATGCATATTTCACACACGTATTAATGAGCTGTTTCACTATGCAATACAGTGAGGGCACCAGTGATACGTGTTTTGCAGCAACCCAGTGTTCAAATCGAAATTTGTGTAAATTCGATTTCTTGGCAAAACACTTTGAATTTCCGTTTTTCAATCGGAGAAATTGTTACAATAGTTTTGCCACTTTATTGCATAGATATCGAAAATAATTGCACTGCATTGTGTTAATCTGTTAAGCCAAACAATTTGGTTTTCTAAGGCTTTCGCATAAACTCAACATAAGAGATGATCGTTTGAATGGAAGTTTACGACTGTTGGTAGCATAACCAAACGGAAATAATAATCTTGTGCACAACACCAAACCACTTCTCTTTCGTGGTAATCAAAGATCTCACAAAATTGAAACAGAATTTAATTAACAATAATAATACG